TTTCATTCAAGTTCACTGTTCATTTATGAAGTCTTGCGGAGCTAGAATATTAACATACACCTGATCATAAAACCTAACATTTCAGACAGAATTTAGAATTATGTATTCACGCAGCTATTCTGTTGTGATTATGAAACAAACATTTTAGTACGTGTTCAAAGGATAAGAGCTGCGATAATAAAAATGGCTTTCTAGCTTTAACTACGAGGAAAATCCTAAACATTCTAACCTCTTTCCATAATCCTATCGTAGCTTTCCCGTATTTTGACTTATGATTCTTGTATCATTATGTTTAATCCGTTTTTCCTCTAGAATCAATCATCCGAGGAAATATTCTTCAATTATTTGTTCTTCATATCGGGGTGTGAACCGTAAAAGCCATTCACAATATCTTGCATTATTAGTATCTATCGTTGATACCTTCAAAGTACGACTGAATATCCACGGCATTGCAGATTACAAGGATCCAAAAAGATCAACTTGTTTTCTGTCCGTATGTCCAAATGTTTCGAGCTTAATCATTTCCTAAAATTCTACGTCATCCAAAATAACCATGTCGTGTGATGTCTGGCAACAGGTCCTGGCTTTGGACTCTCGCTATAGCGCTGTCAGGCCAATAACAAAATCAAGCACTGAATTAAGACAACTCTATCTTCGAAGAAGGAATCAGTTAACAAGAGAAAAAGCCGCACTGAGTGCCAACGAGGCTTTCAGACATCCTAATTTATCTTGTAGTTTTCAATATGCAGCTGAAACTTTTGTCACGTCTTTTGTTGCCTACAGGAACATTCGTGAGCAGCTATTACTTTCTCTTTACGGTCCAGCCAAACCTCACAAGTGCGCGTCACCTCAATTAAGCTTAACGAAAACCAGGAGCTACGATGACAGTACAAAACAACCTTCCCTACTGAACTACTCCATGACTAAGTCGATATGTGTAAGTATTTTTATACTCGCTTTTTTTGCTACCTAGCTGTAGCCATGTAATTTCAATTGCCAAATATGGATAAATAGTATCCTTATTACCATTTTTTCAATTTGTTGCTCTAGTTTCTCTTGATCACTTTCGGGTAGATTCATGAATTGTCCGGACTGAGATCCACTGTGCACCATGGCTGCCGCAAGATAAAAAGATTATTGCCCCTCGAACCTGTTCATTTACTTCCAGTTGAATTGCATATAAGATTGGCATTATAAACTGCGTTATTTCGTGGATTTCTAGTTCGAATAATAATTGAAGTACTTCTAATTATCATGGAAAGATCTTAAGATCTTAAGTAAATTCTTTATGAAATAAAACCACTCAAGGTTCGGGCGTACCAAAGTTTGTGAATAAAAAGTATGTTCGTGTTCAGACTTTAAAGTTTGAGGGTTTACATATTCAAACATAATTACTGTGAAGGTGCACTTTATATCTGAATACTGTGCCAGATCAAGAATGTGTTTGTCAATAATGTAAAGGAACAAGTAGAACATTAAGAAGTACTTTATATATTCACCAAGGTCCATTCTAAAGGTCTGTAACCGAGTAGTGTTATTATGAATACATTCCATATTATTATCCACATCATGAAAATAATGATATTACTGGTGTTAAGACTTATTGTGTTTCATAATGTCACATACATCATTGAAAACATTAGTGGGCCTGGTATTATATCCTGAACAACATAACTGATACTAAGAGGTTTTCATACGTGTAACATAATTTTGACCACTAGCAGTCGTTTGTTCGAGAACGAATGCCAAAATAGCTGAGGGAATAGAAATCTGATTCGCAAGGTAGAATTATCATTCTCATTTGAAAGAGATCTGAAATACCTAGTGACTTGTAGAGTTTAGCTATCAACAGATTTAAGTTTAGAATAAAGGTCAGTTGTATTTCTAAGGAGTGTGTGGAATAGCACTTGCATGAGAATCTCAAGTAGAGGTAAAGCACATGAAATTCATTACAATTAGTAGCTCTAGATAGCCTCTCCACCCACATCACTCTTATCTTACTACAACCTTCCTTTTAAACACTCTAACACTTATACTCGATTCAAAATTGCTCTGTAACTTGAACCTCTGAATTTTCCAGGGTAGATCAAATTTGAAAAATCCATTCACTGAGCTATAGGAGTTGTTAACTATTGCTGTTGCATCCTTATCTTCAACCAAATATACTTTACAAATATTATTCTTGTCATTAGTTCACAACCATACAGCCGTTTCGAATCAAAATAATCTTTCTATCAGCTGTAAAACCCTGGTGCGCGAAAACATTATATTTTATTCGATGGCAGTCATACATCTGTCGAAAACTTCTCTTTCAACTACCCTGTTAGTCTAGTATTAGAAGTGATATGACTGATTCAAAAAAACAACTGAAGAGTTTACACCACAAGTATATATATGATTTTAGGTATTAACTGTAAGCTGCGACTTCAACGTAAGCTTGTTGATCACATCATACCCGTCCAACTCGAGTAGACCCCCAATCATCGGCACAGATCACCTACATTGGTGATCTAAAATAAAAACATCAAACAAAGGTCATATACATATAGTCTTAAAAGTATCACCTTCCTCGTCGACCTTTTGCTTCTAAACTGCCCAAAACAAATTATCCAATTAAACCGAACCGAAGACAAGTGCCAAACCACCAAAGTACCCAAAAATATTCGTCCAAATCTGATAAAAATTTGAATTCAAGACAGTTCAAAAATTCTCAAACGATTTTTCGCAAATCCGAAGACTTAAGCAGCTCTTTATTAAAGGACTTTGTGTTGTCTCCAAATTTATAGACTTCGGAGCGACTAAGAGACAAAAAATTGAAAGAATAAAAATCCGAAACTAAGTAATGCTAAAGCCAAAAACATTCAGCAACCAAATAGGAATTTTCTGAATATAGATGAAAGTCTAGTAAATTATTGTTCTTTGCTACAGTTACAGAGACAAATTAGTGACAAACCTTCAGCATTTACGCCTTCTGATGTCTATGAACAAAACGAGAAAGGAAAGGGCAAGAATGGAACCAAAAATCCAAAGTCAGAAAGAAAAAAAAACCAAGTTTAAGGACTGATGTCTAGATTCAGATAAAAGGAGCAGATTTTACAATAACACTTTGTGATAAGTTTAAAATTTTAAGCTTCACCTGTAACATTGTGTTTAATACTTTTACAAAAGGCAATATGCAACATTTTCTGAAATAAAAGCTGAGAAACGTGGATCTAACAATTTAAGTTCAGATATGAATATCAGACGCCAATCTCAATGAAAAAATCAATTTAGTCTATTAATTGGGATGAGACATGCTTTGAAGAACTGAGATTAGAAATACTCTGATAACCGTACAATAATTCTCCATAGAAATCGATGAGTTTTAAAAGTTTTCTGTTCAATATTGTATCTTTGACGTAACAGAAGAAACATTTACCATGTTTTCACAAAGTTTAGCGGAATTAACACTAATCAGTTATCTTTTTAAAAAAAGGCTAACTGTTAACGTTGATTCTGGACAGATATTAAGAATTTGAAATTTTAATTTAGTTTGTTGTGGTTTAGCTTATCCCAATGTTGATATTTTGACTGAATTTCGATAACCTAAACGATTATAAATTAAATTAAAATCCATACCCGTTTCAAAAGTGAGTGGCTATTTGATCTCAGAAGCTCAGTGATTGAATAACGCTTTGGTTAGTTGAAACAAAAGGTAGTGAGTCCGAGTCCCTGAGTGACCATCTACACTGAGATTCAAGTAAATTCACTCATTGGGTTCCGAAGGAGAGGAAACGTGATGCCTGGATTCTATTTCTGTTCGAATATAACCTATTTTAAATAAAATCGAAATTTTGGTACTTGGAGTCTAGTACAAATGAAACACAAAGTAAAGTATTTACGTCATCACATCTGTATGAATAGAAATATGAATGCAAAGTAGACTGAATTGGATACCTATCAAATGGCCATAGTTTTGAAATCTCCCAGCAAAAGATAAAAGAAAACGTCAAACCTTTTAAGAGCACAAATAACAGGAAATAATAAATAATATTAATGATTGTTATTTTCACATTACTATTGGTGGCTACTGACTCTTAGTTATTACTTTGCCATTAATTATGTTGCATTATTTACTCCAAGTGCAAACCTGTTGGTCACGAAGTTTCCAAACAGCTACAGTCGATTAGTTTCATCTTTTGGCTAACTTCAAGCCGAAAGTTGATGAAACGTTCTTATCACATCAATATATTGGAAGAATAACTAATAATACTGTCTACAATTAATGAATCAGAAGTTTTTAGATATATACATATTGCATCTAAAGAGTCACGAGAGAACTAGTGACTGAAGAGAGAATTAGACCATTGAGACTCTTAAATTTATCGCATTGAACGTGAACAAATCAGGAATGTACAAAACCTTGTTCAATCGGTACAAACGCTACATTTAGATTCCCTAAAACTCTTAGATGAATTGTTTCTAAATAGGATCTCGATTAAACAACTAGATTCATGTATATTGATTAATGATGAGTAAGGAGATGATTCAAGAATATTTCATTCAGAATAAGCTTTTGATGTTCTTTCTCAATCATCATACTCTTGAAACCCTTAACTATTGTTTTGACACTCAGCTCATAAATATCAACCTATGATCTATAACTCTAGAAAAATGATCACGATCATAAACTGTAAATCCTAAATCCTGACACACCTAAACTCTTATCCTAACTTCTAACTATTAAAGTGGATCAGAAAGCTAGTGAACATATACAACAAGACTATAAATATATTGCCACAGTTCAATGATCCCTTCTTAATAAAGGAATTCTTGACACATAAAGACATTTGTTTTGCTTTTCTAGATCATCTATTCTTCTATACCTTGTATAATTTTTGTCTGCAGTTTAATCTGTTTAATGTTGCTTACCCATTTCCAAAGAAGAAATTTGGATAACTAGTTACAATTCCTTACTGATTCCCGTAGCACCCCTTTGATTTTCCTGAAGAATTAAATCATTAGATAGCCTTTCACTTTCATTTTAACTCCAAACTCATTAAGTTACAAACGAAAGTACATGAGAAAAAGCGTAAAATAAAAAATTGCTTGGGATAAAGTGATTTCCGTGGAATTTACTTTCAACAATAGCTTCTACAAAAGTTCCTTACATCTTAGTCAATATGTTAACTTTACGAAGAGAAAAATGGATTCCAAAGAAGAAAAAAAATTAAAACTAATACCCGAATAGGGAGAAGTAAATAAAACAGGAGACATATATATTAGTTTGCTCGCCTTTATACAAAAAAGAAACAATATTTTATTTTTAAGTAATTGATCAATATTAATAACGTTGTTATTTACAGGGATAAGTGATTAAAATCACTGTAATCGGTATCCACATATACTTCTAAAATATACTCATATGAACCTAGTCTAAATCAATCATCATGTATCTATTTTTGGATAATATAAGCATCAAACATATTGTACTCAATAGACTGTTTAAAAATGATCAGAAAAAAAACTGTGGCTAATACATACTAGCACGTACTAAGTCACTAAAAAGAGATCATACGCCTTTTAAACATAACATAACCACTAGAACACTCTGAAAGAAAAAAACCAAAGGATGAATAAAAGAAAGAATGGAAATCACATTTTCGACCTGAATAAAAGTTATACATTTCATTTTAGTGGGTAATTTTACAATGTACAAAGAATAGTGGAATGATTAGTTACTAGAAGTAGATTGAGCGAGCTGTTTTTCATAGATTACAGGGATAATAGTAATATCAATATTTAGCTACACCAAGTCTAGTATACATAATATTACTCGGAGTTATATGTGGACGAAAAGTTCAAAAAATGTGAAAATTTCATCACAAAAGAGTTAGACTATAGATATTTTTTGCATTTTCTCTCTAATAAATAACCCACCGTCGGCGGTAGTTGATAAATTTCTCCCAGTTCCGACAATCAAACCGCTTGTATTATTGTTACTACCCCCGCAACTATGTACAGAGTCTGAAATTACTGTACCACCTCCATTTTTAACTAATGATCCTGAATGTGACGATGTCCTGTGTTGTGTTTTATTATTCAATCTAATTGTATGACAATAATCGTGCTGGTTATCGAGTGAAAAATGTGAACTATGACAGTCATGAGATGCATTGATTAGTTGTGAGTGTGCACTCTGTTCAGTCATCTTTTTGTTATAACTATGATGGTGGTACCGATGAGAGTGAGTATGCGGCGGTAACTGATGTGGATGTAGTAAATGACGATGTTGATGATAGTGGTAGTGTTGCTGGTGCTGATGTTTCTTTATTGGACCGATATCTCTAGAGACCATTTCTTTCTCGGCTGACAAATCGCATAACAACCCTGTACTCTGTGAATTATGACATTTATGTAACTGTTTTTTATTTGGACAATGAGCGGTCAATCTGTGAGCTGACTGATTTAGTGATAGAGAAGGCTTTGAACCCGTTAATTCTGTTAGGGGATCCAATGGCATATGTTTTCGTCGTTTATATTCACGATAATAAATGTAGCAAGCTATACCAAGAAGTAGAATTAGTGCCAGTAGAATACCTGTACCAATGTGAACTAAGTTGTAGCTTAGTCCCAATGAACCTATTAAAAAGTACAGAAAAATAAAACAATGAAGGTTATAACAATGATTATGTTTGAAAATTCCATGGCATTGCTCACAAAGGACAGGAATTTGGTCCCGTTGAGACTCATTAATACTTCGAAGCTTTGTGCGAATCATATGGGTCACTAAACTATCAAACTTCAGCTCACCACTTGTGAATTTCGGTGCGAATAATGTTCAGTTATCAGTTTACTTAGATACTTGATTTTTAATATCTGTGGTGAATTTATATATCAGCAAGACATCATAATGTGACATTGATATTTGTGAGAAAAATGTTTCTTATGCATAAGCTGGATTTGTTTCATGGATATTGAAAATAATACAAACAAATTGTATTTTTACTTCTCATATCCGTTTGTAAGATGATTTAGATGGTTTGACAAAGATAGAAATAGCGACAATATATTTACCTCCTGAACGAAAAGTAAATAAGTGAGAAGGAATATTATGAATGAAGGCAAAAGAAAGCATGTAATCGCCGAAATGTTATAGAGAACGAAAGGCGAAATAATCCCCCTTTTATTGTGCATCTCAGTTGATACTATCTTTATAAATGCTTAAGAAGGATTTAAGAACATCACTCATTTATTAGTACCATATTATAGTTACGAATCGACAAATACTAAGAGTTTCGCTCATAAGAATTCTGTCAGAAAATAAAAATTATGAAGTCTCCATGAAAGCAACGAATGAGTCTAGGCATTTGATTCACATTCAGGGAAGAGTGGAGTTAGTAGTCTCCCTGTAGACTTAGTGAGGAAGTTTGGAGCATGAAATAATTCACTGTACAGTAATTAAAAAATAGTCTATTTTTTTCACTAATTGAAATACCTTAATCTCAAAACCTCTGGACTAAGACTAGAGTAAACTCATTAATCCTACTCTTCTATACAATGTATGCCAGTTGCAAAACTAGGTCTTTTTCGAAAAGATTTATATTGTTGAAGACATAAAATAAAACTGGGATTTACGAGGATAAGTGGTGAGATTTTGTTGATGTATTTTTTATGATGTGAGTTTCAGATGTTTCATAACAATACCTTGTGAAATATGCTTTTATGAAACTCTCAAATTATCCATGGCGATCTACGGATATACGCTCACACATTTGAAATTTATTTTACTATCACTTCAATCTTTCAACCCAAAGTGTATTTCGATAGCCAAGTTTACGTTAGAAGTCAGGACATCTAAGTCTTAAACATGTAAACGAAATGAACTAATCTTCTGGATTGGTGAAAGTTTAGTTAAGTAAAGTTCTATAAAGTACTTACAGCTTGCTTCATCTGATTCATCCTTCAACCATTTTCCATCTTTTTGATACATTCCACAATTCAGTACTTCATTACATTCTAGATCTGCATATAAACAATAACCTGTATTTTCACAGAGGAAACCTTTACATCCAGCTGAAACAATAAATACATAGAATCATTTTTTATATGGTTGTGAAAATGTAAAACTGATGCACTGGAATCTAAGATATCGATCATGTATTCTGAGAAAAATGAGGTCTGTTAGGAAATGCTGAGAGACATTTTTCGGTAAATTCCGCGGTACATATATAAATTAATCTTAGATTTTCTAAACTAACTAATGACATCTGTTCAATTCACTATTATATCATTTCTGACTAGGCTAGTTGCCATTCTCAGAAACACAATGTTTAATTTTCAAAGAAGAGATGAAATACCGATTATGTTTGAATACTTTTTGCTATGTGTAAAATAATGTAGATTCGTGATCAATAATAATTAATTCACCTGTAGCTCTTCTAGAGTTACTGCTGGTCACAAGCCGGGTAAAGAAGGAGGGTTGGGCGTGGGGTTAGCGACACCATCCCGTAGAAAACTAACTCGCTAAAAAAACGCTAACCCGGAAAAAGTGTTCAAACCATTTAAACTCTGCCCTGGGAGTTAAAGGAAGAAATATGACGCTTCATGATGAAAGCCGAGATTCTTCGGAAGTCACGAGGCTGATGTCCCTTCTAACAACCAGAGCAACAATTTTTATAGGTACATTGAACGTCCGAACAATGTGGGAGACCGGAAAGACCAGTCAAATAGCAATGGAAATGGGGAGATAGAAAATAGCAGTACTTGGAATCAGCGAAACCCATTGGACACAAGCTGGACAACAAAAGCTAGATATGGGAGAGATGCTGCTGTACTCCAGCCACAAAGGGGAAAATGCTCCACACACTCAGGGAGTTGCTCAGATACTGTCCAGAGAAGCACGAAATGCACTTGTATGATTGGAATCTCATGGATCCAGAATTATTAAAGCATCATTCAAAACAAAGAAGGAGGGGATCATCATGAATGCTGTTCAGTGTTATGCACCCACTAATGATAACAACGACGACGATAACGATCAGTTTTATGAGAGGCTGCAATCAATCATAGCTAAGTGCTCAAGAAAGGACCTCACCATCCTGATGCGAGATCTAAATGCTAAAGTCGGAGTGAACAACACAGGATATGAAGATATAATGGGACGACATGGACTGGGAGAGAGAAATGAAAATGGAGAGAGACTTGCAAACCTATGTGCATTCAACAAATTGGTTATAGGAGGCACAATATTTCCACACAAACGCATACACAAAGCTACATGGATCTCACCGGACCACACCACAGAGAACCAGATAGATCATATTTATATCAACAATAAATTCTGAAGGACAATGGAAGATGTGAGAACCAGAAGAGGAGCTGACATAGCTTCAGATCACCACCAAATGGTGGTTGCCAAGATGAAAGTGAGACTGAAGAAACACTGGACAACTGGAGAAACAGCATTACAAAAGTTTAATACAGCCTTTCTTTGAGATACTAACAAACTCAACCAATTCAAGATAACTCTCAACAACAGGTTCCAAGCTTTACAGGATCTACTGAAAGAACAGGAAACTGAGATGGAGGACAATTGGAAAGAACGTCAAAGACACTTCTACTATACGGCGCTGAGACTTGGAGAACTACAACAACCATCTTCAAGAAGGTACAAGTATTTATAAACAGTTGTTTACGCAAAATACTCAACATTCACTGACAGGATACCATCAGCAATAGCCTTTTATGGGAGAGGACAAACCATCTTCCAGGTGAAGAAGAAATTAGGAAAAGCCGATGAAAGTGGATCGGACATACATTGATGAAATCACCGAACTGCATCACGAGGCAATTCTTAGCTTGGAATTCGGAAGGGAAGCAGAAAAGAGGAGGGCCAAATAACACAATTCACCGGGGAATAGAAGCAGATATGAAAAAGATGAATAACAACTGGAAAGAACTGTAAAGGATTGCCCAGGACAGAGTTGGATGGAGAATACTGCTGTGAGGCCTACGCTCCTCCACGAGGGGTAATAGGCGTAAGTAAGTAAGCAAATAAGTAATTAATAATAATAATTTCTGTGGAACATTGATTTTTACTTTTGTTACCAGATAGGTTAATCAGAAATACAAAAATAGTTATTCTTGGCTTGATAGCTCTTCTTATAAACCAATCTAAGGTTTGGTCACTAATCTAGTTTATTTCAAATAATTAATGTTTAATTTTTTGCCCTAATAATAATAATAATAATAATAATAATAGTAATAATAATGATTTTTGATGAAGTTGATAAGACGTGATTTATTTAATAGAAATGATAAGTAGTAGAACTCCCCGACCTAACGCTTCATATACTTGATTATATTTTTTATTTTTTAATATAAAGATATTTACGGATATATGTTGACAATCAAGACAGAAAAGAATATGTGGTGGCAAAATTGTTTGATTCGTCAGGTCAGGTGAATATGTGAAGTTTTAAATGAATTGCTGGGACTATTAAACAAAATTTAAAAGATAACAATTGAAATAGGACAAAACGAGTTTTTAACTATATGATATTACGGCTAGGAAGTCACAAGAAACTGAAATAAATGATAGTAAAAGTACTCGTAACATAAATTCATTTAGTATTGTTTGTTTGAATCTTCCCATCGATGTGTTAGAACTGCAACTGGTCAGTCTCTAATTGGCATATGTGCATACTGTGCGTATTGCCTCGATATAGCCTAAATTCACAAGCATTGTAAGCAAAGATGGATAGTGACTAGCAGTGGAATCCAGGACGCGCGTTTCATCCTATTTGGGACTCGTCAGCTGGATGTACCTGCATCCCAGAGTTGATGTTCACTCTGGGACTCGAACCCAGTACCTTTCGCTTCAAACGCCATCACGTTATCCACTCGGCCACTGAGTCCTGATAGCCACTTACTTGTGCGATGGGGTGAAGTTTAAATTCATTTAGTATTGTTTGTTAGTTCGGTAGACTGAATATACTAAGAAGGAGCACAATAATGGCGACCAGCATACACGAAACTAGTAATAACTGTAATGCGCAGAAAATATTGCCATACTAAGTTTCATTCAATCTCTATTTTTGTAAGTGTATATAGATTTGATTAATTTAGTTTTAATTTAATCTACTTAGATTGAAAAAAACAGTTTGCAAACTCATCATTCATATTTGTTATTGGTTTTAAATTCACAGTCCTTATGTTAACAATTCTAGAAAATACTTTCAACATACTTTCAGGATCTATTGGTAGTAGATCAGTCCAAATTAACTCGAATCCTTTTGAACCTGATGCATCCATTGCTGTGTGCATTCTGTTTAGAAGTTTTAAAAAAGAAAGTATATTCCGTAAAACCACTTGATCAACACTAAGTAATATCTTCCAAACAGTATGAATATTTTTAATTCACCAGTTGATAAAATTAAGACAGTTGGAAGATATGAACTTTTAAAATAGGATATCAACTAATAACACCGTTTCATATTAATTTGAGACAATGTAAAATCATATAGTTACGATTACATCTGTCTCTGGACTACAGCACAACATACCGCGTTATTAGACTTTGTCATAGATTAATCAGTTTGAAATCCCGTGGTTACTACTTTTCATAAACACAAGAATTAATATTTTCCTATTTCAGAAAACCTTCGTCACTGAAACAACAAGCTGCAGTTTTGACTAGATGTTTGAATATGAAAATCTTGTTGAGATCGCATGTAGGCGGTTGAAAAATTCGCCAACTGTGAGAAAATCTGGCACGAGCTCTGAAGTTGTAAACACAACATAAACCGACCACTTGAATTAGATATATCGTTTTGTTCCACCTAGTCAGACAAATTATGCCGGTAGGAATTTAAAGGTTGTTTCTGTTTAGTCGCCTCAGTTACTCGTCTGACAAGGTAAGCGCCACACTCAGGTTCTTTCATGGGAATATTGAATTCGACAAACTACTAATAAAACCATTTAGTAAAGAAAGTCATTTTGACAATCATTTTGTCATTTTATGGAAGCTATTAGTCACGTTCACATTTATTTCAGCGAACTGACAACAATTTATGTAGATATTATAACCGTAAAATCATAACATATAACATGGAGTATTAAAGATGACTTGCAAATTAATTTTAAATATCTCACTCATAATCTAAGACTAATTGGAGTTTTCCAATGAAAAAAACGTTACCGACTGAGAAATATGAGGCAAAAGGAATAGTATATATATATATATATATATATATATATATATATATATATATATATTCAGTGATGTGGTTTGTACAGATAATTTTATTCTGGGCATTCGATATCGTGCAGGTGGAACCGGGAGACCTAACCAACTATTTTGACATGATCAGAAGCTGCCGGGTTCACTTATGAGTCAGTTTGAATATATTTACCAGTTAGAAGCTTCAAACTATGAAAAAAAGTATATGTATACATGTCTAACTAGTGCATCACTGACTGATAATTTTTAGCATGGGATCGACTAGAAACAAGGGGCTGCTGTGTAAACCTTTCGTATTAAATGACTAAAATGTCAGTTAAATTAAAAGTAATTGAATCTAAAGTGTTCCAAATGGGATAATCAGTAGATTATGCACGGACGAATATCTTCTTACAATCATACTGAATATAATCTCATGAATTTGATGTTTTCACTTGTTTGAAAATACTTTTAATTCGAAAATAAAGTCACTTGAAAAGAAACAGACTTCACTATGGAATGAAATTCAGATGAAAGGTATTTGTTAATAAGATTATTTTCAAGACTGAAAAATACCATGAATGACTCTCATTCAGAACGATTATTCCAACATACTACTCAGTTACCATATCGTGTAACTTAATAATAATAAGAAATAAAAATCATTACCACTTGTTAAGGGTTTCTTTTGAAAGGTTTTCATTTTTTCACAACCACGTTCATTGATGTTAAATAAATCTACTATTCTTTTTGGAAATAAACCGATATCACTTAAAATGTAAACAGTTACGATCATGAGCCCAAAAAGTCTTTAAGTGTTTGTGGCTCATACTATGAATGTTCTTATAGAATATCTGTGTATATTAATATTTTTTAGGACTAGATTTCCAGTAACTCACTGACTATCAACATTAATACGAAATTGAAAACGGTATTCAAAATAATTTTTCATCAATATTTGTATAAATTTTATTTATTCAGATATGATAGAATGTGCTGTGAATGTGTTATGAGATCAAAATAGACTGATCTGGAAAGAACAGACCACTATAGATAGCTTTTAAAATGATCGGTGTTAAAGTTACTGAATCAGTTCTTCGAAAATATGTTAACGTGACAAAGCTCGATATATCTGTCTAGTAAGTTCAACTTAAAGAAACCTAGAAACGAATAGACGGTATAAGATAGTTAACAACAAACATTTTAGTGAAACAAGTAAACAATTCTGAGAACAACGGTCATTCAAGTTGACAGAACATCTCCATATACACTCTCTCTGAATATTGATCAGAACAACCATTAAATATCATGACCCTTGAATTTAAACACAAAGTGTATTTCTATTGCAGTAGATGGAAATTAAACAATCCATCGTATCTGCATAGTTAACTCATGTTGATTAAAAAAAATTAAAATCTCAAGAAGAACAATCGGTTGGATAACTTGTTGAAATTAAAAGAATTTACAAAATGTCAATTGACATTTTGCTGATTATCAGTAAAATTTACCACTTTGGAGGGTTAAAACATATAGAAAGCGTTCAATTAATGTAACAGGATAGCAACATCTGTTTCTCACTCTCTCATATGGAAATGAAATACGAAATTTGAAGAGTTGAATGACAATCAAACCTGGGATAATCTTTGATTCGGAGCATTCAGCCAACAGGACATTGGTAATTCTAAGAGGTTAGAATTCGTCTTTAATATAGTATCGGATTGCTTGCCATTACGTTATAAAGAAATAATCAAACAATCAAGGATACATCGAGTAGTTTAACTAATACCAGAATACATTGAGAGTAGGTTCTAACAACTCACTTAACTTTGAATCTTAGTACAAGTTATTAAACAAGATTCTAGGACTTAAATTCGGCATCTAGTACTCATCATAAATGTGCTATACAAACTATGATATAGAGTCTGAAGCAGATTGGCATTTAAAATTTATTTTAATATAAAGTATTTTATAAAACCTACTTTACTCGTGCTACAGAATTCGGTATAACAATAGGCAGGAGTTCATTAGGATTTCCACAAAGTTCATATGAACTTCGTGGGTTACGATCTTCATATATCCGAAGAACTGCTCTTGAACAATCTATTACGGTAGAAGAAAATATAATAAAAAGGTGAAAAATAAATTTCTACTGTACAAGATAATATCCGCATACGTAGTGTTTAAGCTTCGGTTATAAAAGAATTCATTTTAAGTTCGAGTAAATACAGAGACAGGTGATTTCATAATTCCGATTGTTATGTCCCGATAACAATAGTGAATGGTGACTTTGGCATCCATTTATGGACCAATATTATGCATATATTTTTTTATCGTATAATCGCTCAGTAACTAAACTATTCATATTCATGTTACCCTTATTATAATCTTTATTTTGACCTATAGACTATTATTATGCGATTTACCTTTCTTGAGTTATCCCTAGTCTATTAATTGTTGCCTCCCACATTCACAGCCACATTTGGCTAAATCTTGTACAAATGTTATTTTCTATTTTATTGGTACGATGTGGTCAGTCTGTTTGGTGTGTTTGAAATGCAAGGATTCATACCGCAGAGGCTGTTCTGGACTTAACTGGCTGGGATAGGCAGAAAGCAGGACTGATACGTACTTTAGACTGCTTTAGACTGCTCGTACGGTTTTTCATGTGTCACTGTTCTAATCGATAATTCGCTTCTCTCTGATTGGCGCTCTTATCACGTCATACATTAACTTGGCATCCACTCGGTCACAAGTTATAACAATGAATGTTTAGTTTCTATTTGCAAAATCTTATTCATCCCGGTAAATAATCTAATGCATCATCTAGTACTCCGTGACTGATAAATACATTTAGTATGTCACTGGAATGCAAAAATAACAGGATATGTGTTTGTCTGGAAACTAATCAAAGCTTTAACAGAATGAAATGTATAAAAAGTAAGCATGAACAATATACGAAAGTAAGTAAACTGGGATATCCAATCCACTATCCCAGTTTCATTCTCACTTAGAAACTTACTCATTTTCGAACCTTCTAAATCCAATGAATTGAAATATAATTGAATGCGACTTTTCTCTGTAGTTCCTTGAATATACCATTCATAATTGAAATCCTTCACATATAAATTGGGAAAATTTGGTGAAGTAATCAAACCACTGCTAGTAGTTTTGACTGAATATTTGTCGTCAACACCACCACCATTTTTCTTCCCTAAAAATATTTTCAGAAATTAAGACTACGTTACCTAACTATACGATTGAGTAGTATATATATATATATATATATACTTACAGTACTACTTTATTGCAACCACTTGTTTAAAAATACGTAGACATAAACTGTATCAGAAATTTAATGAATTACATAGTAATTTAGTTAAATGTATTTAGATGTGGTGATTTCGCATCCATAATGAGATTGTTTTCATTTAGAGTGGAGAAACTATGACCTCGTATCATGAGATTCCATACAGTCTTTGGATTATACAGTCTTTGCATTATCCAGATTAAAAGTAATAGTTAAAGTACGTCATATGTCCTTAAATGTCAAAGTATGGAGTATTTTTAAATGATGGAGAGGTTTTGTAGCTCTAATCATCAACGAACGTTGATAAATGAAAATAGTCAGAAACTCAGTGTATATCAGTAGTTATGTGATGACTGAAGAGAAATGTTCGAAAGGACCAAACCATAGACAAAATGTCATATTACAATATAAGTCGGCTGTAGCACTGCCATGACATTAGCTATAAAACGTTAGATAAATAGAATCCTGTCCCATTAAAATTTAAATATATAAGTGGATAAATCAGATTGATTCTATACTGGAAACTTGAGTTGCAAAACTGTTTGTCTGCCCAGAGGACCAGGTGAGAGGATTAAGAGGTGTTGGCTCATAGTGAATCACTATGTTGGTCTCGAATTTATAGGTGCAACATACCTCACAAGATGAAATCATCTAAATCGCATTGCCTAGTTGGTTGAAAAGTTTTAAAGGGAGTCTCGAGACCGCGCTCGTTTACCATCACTCCTTAATTTAGTCAATTATGACCTTAAGTAGTTTAAAATGAGTTCAAGGTTTCATTAGTTCATACTTAAAACCTTTATTAGTAATTTGTAAAACAAATGAATAATATTAATGTAATATATGGTAACATACCTGGTTTATCAACAACTTTTGATTTCATTGGATCAAGAGGTAATTTTGGGAGAAATTCGTAACTTAATGTAAAGCCCTTTGAAGTTGTATTTTGTCCACTATGAAATCTCATTAAAATGGCTGTGGCAGTTGGATCTAAGACTATTGGACCAGGTATATACTTCCCACAGTATATACTTATGGGTTCTAGTATATGTTGATTTGTACCTAAATAAATTTGTAATTCTTTCTCTAAATTATGCCAACGTTGTATCCATACGTCATATGATACTTCGAGTAATGGTGGGAAGTTGACACGTGAAGTCAAAGCACTTATTACTTCTTCTTTTAAAGGAATGTATAACTGGATGATTTCAAGGAAATCCTAAATCATTCAAAGAACAAAATGTACTCAGTGTCAATAACAATTATATACTTAAGCAAACAGTCTATAAAAAATAGTCTCCGCCACGAAACGTTTCACCTGAATTTATGGTGAACACCGATATTTGATTGGCATAAATATTTCCAGTATTCGTTTTCTGTACTCGATTGGTGACATTCCTATATCAGATGCAGAGGTAGTAGTTATGTAAAACATTTCAAATTAAAGCCGATAATAAGTTTTATAGTAGAAGCGCCAAGCGGAAGTCGTTTGACTTTTGCTTCTAGTGTTCAAGAAATAAAGTATCCAATTTGACGAGCTTGTAAGCGTGGATCAACGTTAATTGGTAAAACTCGGGATAAGTAAGAAACGGATTAAGGTTGGCTACACTAAAACCAATATAGGAAGCTAACGACTATTGGCTTGAGTACTGTGGAAAAGGGTGGGAGATCTTAACAGTGTTCCCGATATATTGAAATTTATTGAAGCTAAACAACGATCGTTAGAGTTTTTTCGTTAGCCCACAAAGATACTTCAAGTTTCAATAACTAATTTTATTGAACCATGTATTGAATTTCAATCTATTTCTTGCAGTTACAATGAAAACTAAAGCCAATTATGAAATGTCTCCAGCAGTGGAATCCAGGACGCGCGCTTCTTTCTATTTACGACTCATGAGCTCGACGTACCCGCATTCCAGAGTTGATATTCTATCCGGAAATCGAACCCAGTACCGTTTGCTCTAAAGACTATCGCACTATGTCCAAACCATCCTCACAGAATGCCCTCATGGCAACCAAAACTGATCAAATTTCATTCGAAAATGTCAACAACGGAATGATCCAAACTATTTCAAATTCAATTAAAATTTTTAGGTAGAGCCGACAGTTTTTGTAAATGTTCGAACATTCAACCTAGGTCGTAATAAATTACAGTGAATATGTCAGTACTTTAGATAACTAAGTTTTCATATTCACAGAGAGTGACTTTCACAAAGGTTTTAAATGCTCTTTTTATATTCTTTGTTAAAGTCTACTCTAGTAATAGTTGTAGTTTTAATCAGCCTTAAAATCCAAAACTTTGAACATTGAGTTATATACATATTAGTTTTGAATCGAATGAACTCATTACATCTGAAAATACATCGTATACAAGTTCAATCTTCATTATCACCAAAAAATAATTAAATTTACGCAATCAGTAATTAAATCTAAATTTATTTTACCATTATTTTTACTAGTCACAAAGAATTACCCTAATTATTATAACTTCAGCCAAAAATAAAACTGTTTTTACATAGTAACTAACATATTTTAAAAGTATAGAAGACTAATCTATTTGATAGACATTTTGACAGATAACGTTGAAATGTTAATAATGAATGTTAGGAAAGTAAATAATGGTTATGTTTATGAGGTAAGAATATTCGTATATGTTAGCTTTTTTGTTTGTGCATAAATCAGTGTTATCACTGGTGCTGTTTGTGTGTAGATTTTAAGATACATTTAGTTGATTAAAATGCTTACGTAAATGAAAAAAAAAAGATTATTTTTTAAACCCATAAGCCCATATAAATAAAACTGAACGGAATAAGATTAACATTCATATAGTCCACTACTTTTTAAAGTTTAGCGAGACCACTTCAACAACAATTCTGAGTTTAAAACTGATTATTTATTCTGTTTTGCAGTATATAAGATAATAAAGCTCGTACGCATAGATGTTGATGGATAGTCTAAAATTACCAATAAAAGGTCACTTAACCTGAGTTTTCTAATAGATGATAATTATCAACAAAGTACAACAAAATAAGCCATAATTAAACTCGAAATCGAAGTTTCCCAGAACGTGGACAGGAGAACATTATGGAAACTTCTTCGACACTATGGAGTTTCTCAGGAGATTGTCAACATCATCTGGATTTCAGACGACGGAATACAGCGCAAAGTGGTGCATGGAGGACAGCTGACAGACTCATTACAAGTAAGAACCGGTGTTAGACAAGACTGCCTACTCTCCCTCTCTCTCTTTCTTCTTGTGGTTTACTGAAATATGAAGACCTCGACATCTGAGGGGAAGCACGGAATACAATGGACATCTCATAATCAATTAGATGATTTGGACTTCGCAGATGACCTATGTCTTCTATCCCATACACACAAACGAATATAGGCGAAGACAACTAATGTAGCAGTAGCCTCTGCATCAATAAGCCTCTACATACACTAGGGAAAAGGCAAGATCCTGAAAAAATAGCACAGAGAACACCAACACAATCACACTTGATGGAGAAACTCTGGAAGATGTGGAAACCTTCACGTACCTGAGCAGCGTCATTAATGAACAAGGAGGATCTGACGTAGACATAAAGGCGAGGATTGGCAAAGCAAGGACGGCATGCCTATATTTGAAGAACATATGGAACTCGAAACAACTGTCCGCATGCCAACATGAAAGTGAGAATCTTCCATAAGAAAGTCAAGATAGTTAGTTATATTGTATGGAGCTGAAACTTGCAGAACTACCACAAGCATCATCAAGAAGGTACAAGTATTTATAAACAATTGTCTACGTAAGATACTTAATGTTCGCTGACCGGATACCATCAGCAAAAGTCTATCGTGGGAGAGAACAAACCAACCTCCAGCTGAAGAGGAAATTATTAAAAGACATTGAGAGTGGATCGGACATACATTGCTGGAATCACCGAACTGCATCACGAGGCAAACGCTAACTTGGAATCGTGGAGGGAAACGGAAATGAGGGAGACCAAAGAACACAGTTTGTCGGGAGTTGGAAGCAGACATGAAAGAGATGATTAGCAACTGGAAAGGATTGCTCAGAACGGAATTGGATTGAGAATGCTGGAGGTCAGTCTATGTTTCCTCACGAGGGGTTACATGAGTAAACAAGTAATTTTGAATGCTTTTATAGAGGTGTTGATGTCTATCTACGTTATCAGAAGAAATACATAAATTAAGTCATTAATGGAGTATAAACATATTTTTGAAGTCCATTTCAAAATAACTTATTATTGCTGGAGTTTACTTGAGATATGACCAACAACTAGTTTCAGTTATTTGTCAAAAGTAAATTAAAATGGTGAAACAAGTGTTGAATATATACTACGTATTTTGACGATTGATACAATCGATGGATATCAATTTTATCCCTGTATCACAGTTAGAAGGCTTTACCAACAGGATTATCTTATTCCAGGCATAGAATAACAAAAAGCCCCGACCAAATTACAAAAACAATAGCTGTTAATAGAGAAGCTGAATCCTGGTTTTCACCTAAAAGGGGATATTCACAGGGGATTATATATATATATATATTGTGAGGTATTTTTAATGACTACTGTTGATAACAAATCTCCATATCTGATGGTAATCTATTTGCACTATTTAGAGTAATAAGATTTATATATTATATCTCTAACTACTCAATCATTTGACTGTAATAAATTTGTATCATTGTTAGTAGTTGAACTTTGTAATCCCATGGTGAAGATCAACACAAAATGTCTATATTTGATCGAAATTGTTTACCAGACTCGAATGTTACCTTCGAGTGGTGGAAGTTGATCAAATACTGATTGTTTTGTGCAGCTAAAAATCCAGGAAAATTACATCGTAACTCCATTGGGTTAGTTCCAGAGTCTTATTTGATTTGTCTACTTTAACCAGGGTTTGAGGTGAACTGTTCAAACGAATGTTTTGTAAATATCACTGCAATATCTATACAAAAAGACAGTTACTCTTTTTTTCTTACTAAATGTTTGTTGTCACTTTTAGGTTTGTAATTTAAAAGTCTGTTATTTGAAGATCATATCTACAACACAACCATATTTTTCGGATGAGTAGTGGTAAAACATCGAAGTATCATGGAACGAGATATTCATCAATCCATCGATGTTTCTGTACGATTTGCATTAGTCCCATAGAGACCATGAAATATAGTTTTAGCTATGATGAGAGTGATAAGACATTTTGAAGTGGTAGGCGGAGGTTTTACACCAGTTAGGTACTTTGGATTAGTGCTAGTAGTCATGTTCAGGTAAGACGAAATTGTGGGTCACCAGGTCCCATTAAAAGCATTCTGTTATTCAGTATTGTAGAGAGTTTAGTAATGCCACCAAAAATCTGGCTGTTGTTCTTTGAACTTAAATATTTCTTCTGTTTACATAAATATGTGGGGAAAACTATACCGGACACAATCGATTCTTCACAATTAACTTAAAAGAACAATCAAAACACAATTATGACGATTCCGTCATAAGCGCAAATAGTTCTGAAATACACACATCTGATAAACATGAAATGAGTGCAGTATTGTGGTTATTTTATTGAACAGACCAGTATTTTGTATCTTGATCAGCTCTGATTACTGTGAAACTAAATTTCATCCGAAGACCAAAGGCGCCATACAAAAATGACGGTATATTTAGGCAAAGTACTTCACTGTACTTCATATTGCAAATTAAGCAATCTTATCACCATTTCTAAATCTAGTAATAGACTTAAAACATTTTTAAAATGACTAATGACAACGCGAAGCTGTCATATGATGAATAATGTAAGCTTCTATTTCCTAGACAGAATGAAAGTTTCCATGTTTTTTGTTTATAGTTCTAATGGTTTTAGAACAACCTAATGACGGTCTATCACTTTTCCGTAAACCATCTAAACATTCAAATTTTTTATGTAAAATTTCCTATTCTACTTCAAGCAAGGTAAGTTAGTTAACTGGAGAATCCTTACCTGATTACAAATTTTAAATTTTTCTAGTTCTGATTGGCTGTCAATGGATACTTTAGACTGGGTTCGATATGTAGTTGCAAATGTTTCAAAGACTAGACGTATGGATTGTTCTACAGCAAATTCATTTTGTGATGTAATTAAATACAAACAATCTGAATTAGGTGGGTAATTATTTGGGTAGAGAGGTGAGTTGGTCCATCCTTTGAAATTTACTGTATTTGTTTTTGAGGTAGATGAGGATGATGGTTCAGAAGAGGATGATGACGATGAAAAAACAGAGGTTGTCGACTGTGATGGATTTACATACATAAACTGACAACTTTCAGGATTAATCATTGTACCGGGGATACCAAAGTCTACAAATGAATAGAAACAGTTAATAAATCGTTTCATAGACAAAGGAGGAAAGAACCAGGTGTGGTTTACACAGAAAATGTTCAACTAGTTAAGTTCTCTAGCTGAAGATTTTAAACTATTTACTTATTTTTCAAAGTTGAAATCATGAGTCAATTGAAGCTAGACCATCATCGAAAACCTGGAAGCACTGGGCGGCCGTTTCGTCCTATCGGTTAAGGGCTTCGGCTCGAAACTGGTAGGTCCTGGGTTCGAATCCCGCGAGAGTGGGTTTGTGGATGCGCACTGCTGAGGAGTCCCATAGTAGGACGAAACGGCCGTACAGTGCTTCCAGGTTTTCGATGGTGGTCTAGCTTCAATTGACTAATGATTTCAACTTTGAAAAATACTGAAATCTCCACAAATCCCCTTTTAAATATTTACTTATTGTTACAAAATTAGCGTCAATACTTCAAGATTACTTAATTGATATCTAATATTACTGATAGTTTTATAACATAGTTAGCATATAACAAGTTAGCTGTAAAGATGTCCTCTGATTTTTGATTGATATTGTGCTTTATATTAATAAAGCAGTTATCGTCTTCAGTTTTAGTGACTAACATGTCTACTGTCATTAGAACTTCAGTGACCTGAGCTACAAATATTGACAGTCATGTAAATGAAATCCTCTTTAAATAGTTAAAATTATTTAATGATAACCAGCTAAGTAGACTCGATCGTATTAGATAATAGCTGGTAGTAGGATAAGTTCATTTACGAGAACCGTCAGTAAAATGTCTTAACATTTCACTTGATATAGTATTATAATTATGACCTAGATTATGTATTATCCTGGCTGTCCCAGTGAATAGTATGATAGTGAAACCGATCACAAGGCACCTTTGCATAGCGTTTCTCAAACTTTTCTCTCTACTCAAGTTACAGATAAATTTCTACTATTATACTCAAATTTAATCAAATCAATCTAATCAAATTCCTCCTTACTAGAAGTCTTCCCACAACTTATTTTCTCACAACTGAGGCTTTTTGCTACCTCTCACAGAGTGTATAGAGTTACGAAAAAGCATCACCAAGTTCAGCATTTCTGTTAGTCTATGTCAAATGCAACATCTTTTTGGTCCGTATGGCTATAATTATTGGATCTCATGCAAAGGTTAAACCAAACCAGTAGGGTATAATAGTCATAATAATTCAAATCGAATCCCGTTTGCTTGCAAATCACTCCCCTTATAGTCTCATTTATCCTTCCAAAACTACCGAGCTGAATTCAAGTAGTTTTAAAGACACCAAATGTTCGAAAAGTGTGATGAAATTGAATTTTCGTTTGCCAATGCTTTCAAAGTACTACTAGTTTCCATTCTGTCTGTCTATCAACTGTTGTTTTAACGTGAGGTACTAATATATGCGTGCTTCATTTGACCAAGTTCTCACTAATATAGATTCAGTAAGATTGAAACCTAAATAAATTAGAGTGGATGAAATCAAGGTTAAATTAATAGACAGTTCTTACATCTTAGCACTAGAGTGCTATCACGGCCAAACCTCGGATATATTCTGAGTCCACGGGAGATTTTCCTTCACCTCTGAATACGAATTTGTGGATACCTACTCTATCTCAGTTAAAATATGTATGGTCAAGAAATAATCTATCATGTTGACAAATCGAGTAAATTATTTGTAAACTAGTTCATTTTGTAATTTTCATAACATCTACATTAGTTGACAATCATTAATCAACGCCAGCCTATAATAAAGATTCCGAATAACGACACGTGATTTAATGTGTTCAATGAATTTGTAGTAACAAGAGTTAGCATAACTAATATGTAGTAAAAATAACTTGTGGATTTGGAATATTACCAGTTGGTCTAAAACCAGAAAGTCATTTCATAAAGCAATAGAAATAAAGGAATGTATATTGAGTAAAATTAAAAGTGAATGTTAGAAACATTGGATCCTTCATTGTATCCTTATATTCAGTTAAATTGTAAAAAACTATTGTGTTCCTTGATTATAAAAATTAAAAATTCATAAAAGAGTATCGACAAACACGATTCAAGCAACATTAATTTGAGTTACAGTTATTTTTGGTAATTTCAAAATATTAACAGTTGAATTGATGAGTCGATTTAAGCTAGACTACTACTAAAACCGTGTAAGCACTGAACAGCGGTTCCATATCAGTGTGGAACTCCTCAGCATTGGGCATTCATGATCACACACAAGAGACTCGAATCCAGGACCTACGATCTCATACGCGAACGTTTAACCTTTTGACCACTAGGTCGACATCCAATGATTTTAATGTCTAACTTTCATTGCTCCACGAATGACTGCACAACCATTCCTTTTTCTACCTGGCACGTATTGGACTCCACCGGTCACGGCTTCTTACTAGAACTCCAAGGATTCCCTCACGAAGCTAGTCACTAGTGAGCACATGGCAATTATCAGTATGAGATTGTGAAGATTGTTAAGTTTTTGATTGAGATCCCACGTCAGGGATCGTGGATGCACACTGTTGAGGAGTCACATGCTAGGACGAAACGGTCATCCAGTGCTTCCAGGTTTCCAATCGTTGTCTACCTTACATCGACTTATCAAATCAACTATTGAAATTACTACAATCTCCACAAACCCCATTCTGATCATAATTATTTCTTTGTTTAGTTGAACTTTCATTTAATTGACCTTTATTAATTATCAAATAAATTGTCTTGACAAGTGTGTGTGTGTGTGTTCAGATTGTTCGAAATACCTAGCGCAAATACATAACTTCATTCTGATCAACCCCGTCTTCACATTGATCTATAAAAATGTAGGAAAGGGATTGACTACTTTGACATCAGAATCCTAAAAGATATAGATATCCTATCAGTTTATTTCTCTATTTTGCACATTATGATGTTAAGGTTTTATTGTTAGTTTATCAAGCCACTAAAATTATTTGTATTCGTCTGTATGGATTAATGAGAAGTAACAGAATCTCAATGGTTCATACGCATAAGAATAAATTTAATCTACTTTTTGTCAGCATAACTTAACTAAATCGTCACGCTACATAAACTTTAATTAGAGATAATCATAGGCACAAACTATAGATTCAACTTAGTCTATTTTGAGTATTTTTTATTATTGAAACAATAACCTCATTTCCAGATTTTGTAATTAACAGAATCTTTCTAGTTCCATTCTCTTTAGTTGAAATAGATAGCCGTAAACTAGTGGTTGGCAGTATCCCTGAATAACTTCCCCACACAGAATATATTCCTGAATGGAAATTATGGATGATTAAGTGATGAACCAGCGGGGAGAAATGTTAAAACTTTAAGACACATAAACAGTGACCTGATTTTACACATTGTAAAACAAGATATCGGTATTTCAAGGACAAAAATTCTCTGTTAAGATGGAGTGTCAAAATATCGTAGTTAGTAGTTTCTGACTTTGACATTACAGTGTTCATAATCAAGGTACGTCTTGAAACGTCTTAGATTCCTTTCTCAAAACGAGTTACTTATGAACGGTGGAATGTTATACATAATGCTGTGTTCAGCTATATGTGGTTTTTAAATACTTTATCCAAACTGCAGGCATCAAAAGTCATCTTAGACTGGTACTAAATTTAAATAGGTATTCAAATTTTTGATCCTACGTAAATTTGTGGTGTATTCAGAGGAATTCTGTAAGAAATTTAATAACTCTAGACCGAATAAAGAGGCCACAAAGTTCTTTGAAGGTGAAGTGTCAATACTTTCATTCACTTATAATTATGTCTAACCTACGAATAAATTTCAATATAAAAGGTGCGTGGGGATTATCCCAATGACGAAACTTTGATATGAACACTTACAAGTGATGTTTGCTTTGTCCCTGGTACATTTTTATTGTACCAATACACAACAAAGAAGTTATTTATCCACCAGATAGCCTATTCTTTTAAACACGCACAAGAGTTCTACTCGGTCTGTTTTAGAAACCAAATAGGGATGTATTTTCTAAAGTATTTCGTAAGATATGAATTGACTTCAATACAATATTCGTACTCAGATTAGATGGATTTAATGACTTTGAACAACTTCTAAGTAATTTTCATCCCAAACTCAATGATATTGTTACAAATTGTTTGTCGAATGAGGGTTTATTTACTCTGCTTTGCATCAAACTTCATATAAACGTTTTTATTATTACCTAGATGCTTAAACAGAAGTGGTGTGGGATCTGAAAATGTAGCGTGATAATTGTGAGTAATGTGGTGTAAGCTTGAAGACCTTCCTAATCACGAAAGAATATTAGCTTGGAAACTATTGAACGCCATATGACACTACTTTTTTCTATTCCTGTTTAGGACTGTTTTGTCCAAGATTCTTACTACTCACTGTGCAGTATTGCAAGTGTCAAGTCCTTTTCTTGTCTAAAATTCTTAAGGTAGTTTGATATACATCAATTATAAGAGGAGTATGTGAATCATGAAGTTGCATCAATGGCATGATATTCACACTTCTTTCAGCTCGATGCACACTGACAGGATTTATATTTTTATAACCTAAAAAACTAAGGTCCCGTCTAAAGCTAACTCCTCTTAGCTTTGATAGGTAACGGATGTTGAACAACAAGGACCAACAAATTAATTCGATGACATTCAAAATATTTATTGTGAACGACAATGTTAAAAAAATTCTATTCAATATCATGTATTTATCTAGAAAATAAGGAGTAGATCATACTGGGTTGACTTAATCCGCTACTCAATGAAATGGTTATTATTTTGTAGTTGTAGTCGTAACCAACTTGAAGATTACCATTTAACTTGTTCAATTAGTTATCAGGAGACAATTTGTGACTTAATTGAGACTAACTGATTTGAAATAGTCTGTTTAAACATTTAGCAAATGAAATAGAAGGCATAATAACCATTCAAATATTGCTTGCCGTTCTCTTAATAGTCAACTCCATAGCTAGTTACATATTACTAACACGTGGGAATAAGAACCTGAGTGTATATTTTTTCAACGAAATAGAAAAAATACTTCATCATCCACTTGAAAACCAGCCTAATAACTAGTGAATAATGCGGAAAGTAAGATCTGACTACTAGTCAGGTCTTGTGTTTCAAGTTTATATTACCTCAGACAAGCTTCTGGTTGAAATACGGTTGCAAAATAGTTCAATCTGTTACACTCATTAAAATATATTTATTTGAAATTATATATATATATATTTATAGGTATTGGTGTTGTACAAAATTATGCTGTATAAAAGAGGATTCTACAGGCATTTGTCTACTGGTTGCTTCAACCCAGACCTTACCTGTGTAAAGGCGACAATTAAATGGTTTCATTACTCAGTAACTGGTTTTTTTTAAAAAGACTAATACGACAGCGATGAAAGTTGACATCTACAACAGTACAGAATACTTTCCACACAAGATTTGTTCGTGGGAGTATTTAATTTGAATATCACATAACTTCAACCACTCATGAATGATTTATGATTATCCACTGAATTTCATCTATAATTTACTTTATAATGTTAGACAATATTAGTAGAGAGTAAAGCATTTTACTATTGAATCATTTATATTTTCAATAAACAGTATCGTTTGCAGGAATGCTCATCACCAGACTGACTGAGTTGAATAGTCTGTTTGGTAGTACTTAGAATAGAGTATAATCCATTAGTTTCTCTAATGCGCTCTAGGTGAGATGTAAAATGGTACGAATCTATGAATATTTTATGTTTTTCATATTATAAAAGTTGATCAACACCAACACATTCAGGGTGTAAGTAATGACTAATTTGTAACCAGTCAACATATGAATTAAACACTGTTTTACCTAGCATCATAGTCCGTCAAATAAGTTAAGTCAGCAGTGAGGACATGTCTACAGTATAAATAGTTTTCCTTCCCTCAATAACTCAACAAATTATACAGAAAAAACTGTGATGTGGTGTCATATTTCAAACTTTTAATTTAAGTGAAATCTAGTTTAATCCCTCAAGAATAAAAATAAAAAAAACTAACATACCCTTTTTAAACCTATAATTTAGAATAAACTTCATATTTAAACCGGGTAGCTCGGCTCCCGTTGAATTAAATCTCACGAGTAAGACGTTGTGTCGTCCAACTATTGGATAATAATGATGTTGAAAACCTGATCCGATTTTGAGTGATTCTAGTTCATTTGATCTATCACAATACACATGATCGGGTTCTTTATTAGATTGAAGTATTTCATGAGAATATTCATAGGTTGGTTTGTTGATTTGTTCACCAGGTAATAATCTACTGCCATAAACTGCCATGTGTCCACGATCACATCTGTAAACAGAATCACAAAAATAGAATTGGATTTACCATAGTGAAGTTATACTATGTGGAACTCAGCGTGTTAATCCTATACAGTAATAGTGTTAAATCAAAATTTTGAAGTAGCACTATTTTGTTTCATGGTGATATATAATCTAGAAATGTAAGGCTAAAGATTTTCGTACACTTTGAAAAATGCCTTTACAAATAGCTAAGTTCATCAGAATTTAGAAATATCATCTGGATAAAATGTTGTACTTCGACTTTTCGAACAAACCCCTAATAATCTAAGTAGTGGAGCTTTAAAAGGCAGTACTTAGTGACTCTGATAAGAGTCGTTAATAGAATAAAATTCCCACTTATTTCTATTGGACACTAATATCTGTTAAATATACTGATTGTCCACAAACGTCTAACATAAATAAAGGTTATTTTTAGTTTAATTTTGCTTCGAAGCATAAATTAAATTCCTTTTAGGGAGGGAGATTCAATTTCAAATTGCATAAATTAATGTTCAGTAATATCAAATATCTATTTTTTAAAAATGAACATCATGGCACTGTAAAACCTAACTAGAAATTCAATATATATCTTATTTTCCGAATAAATTTCTCAAACATAGAAAAACGAAAATATACAGAATACGCCAAGCATAATGAAAATCTTTGTTTTTTTCACCACAGTAATAATCTTTAAACTTAATTAGTTTCTTATTAATTATTCTTACATGCTTCTATCGACCTAATGGAGGAAAAACATCTGCAGTTCTCACCCATAGTATTGCACTATATACTGGTAAAGACTTCCGATTATTGAAGTTATTCAAGATATCATACTTATTTATTACCGCTAGATATTAGCTACGGTAGCTAAATCTTTAGATCATTATTTTAGCAGGACATTTTACGGTAAAGCGAAATATATAATCCAACACTTTTCACTTCTTATTCCAGGACTTTCAAAACTTTACTTCAAGATACACAAAAAGCTCACAAATGAAACAGCATATACCAGAGAAGTCGAACTGATAGCAAGCATTCTTGTGATAAATTTATAAACTATCTTCTTAGGTTCATTATCTAATAAAGTTTTATTTCAAAAGCTTGATATTATCGAAATAAGATATTTTGATTCCTGAAATTTTCATGTCCTTTCAATCAAGTGAATTCATGAATATGATTTTTAACTTTACTCTTTGACTTATCTTTAGGGGATCCGATTTCTGCAGTTGTCATATTCTAATATAATAACCTTTCGGGCCAATATTTCATTATTTTCATAGCTATCATTTAAAATCAACATATCAGTCACCTAAATCATCTAATTAAATATTAGTTCGATTAAAGGTTCATATGGATGTATTTACCATGGGCCGCTGTAATACTTTTATTAGTTTCTGTAAAATGTAATCAATAAAAACACTGGACTAGGATCTACAACCCTTTTAATTAACTGAAAACCTTATCCTATGGGTTCTGGTGGTATTTCATCAATTAATCTTCAAACATATATCCTATTTAAAACTGAGCTCACTGGATTGAAGTATTAGTAAAACCTAACGACAATTAGTAGCCATTTCATTCCTTCCTGAATTCTTCAGTAACTTAAGTTCCTTCATAATCTACATCAGTCTGTCTGTGAGCTCAAATCTTCGGATAATATTAACAATGTAAACCAATGAGTCATCCTAGGTAAGCTTAAGAGACTAACTATCTACTTGCTGATTTTGATTTAAAAATAAATTTTCCACAAAATTATAAAAAGACTAGCCCAAAATTCTGATTTTCAGTACAAAAACGTAATTCAGAAATCAATATTGGACATGTAATCAGCCAGAAGAAAATATAGAATTTGAAACCTTTCTCTGTTATATTTCGTCTAAGTTTCGAGTATTATAACTAAATTAGGGTATGAAAGTTTTGAGGCATTCAAAAGAAACTAGAAAAAAGAGAGTCAGTAGTCTTATCAATAATTTAATAGAAATGCATTTTTGTTTTATGCTAGTCGGGAGATAACTAGTAATATGAGTTGAAATATTCTTAGGTCAAATAATTTCTTGGATAATTACGTATATTCGAAATGTTAAGAAAATCGATTAAAAGTAACCCACTTATGATTAAGTAGAAGAATTTCACATGAGAAAATTGATCTCAACAGTGAAAAAAGGAAGCTAGGAAACAACCATATTAGTATCAACTCTTACGTCAACGTTATAACAAACTGTCGAAAATGTCAGATTACGTTATGAATCCAGTCACATAAATGGTTTAAGTGAAATGAATAAAAAAAATCATAAGATTGACTAGTGAAAATGGATAATGATCACAAAATTTAAGGCGGCATGCTTGAATATCTTGACTACCTGTTCCTACCATCTAGATACTTTAACAAGTTGTCTGTTTTACCTTGTTTGTGTTAACAAATCGTTATGTCAATTAATTGCATAACCGATTCAGGTGCGTTTGTGAAAAGTTTACGACCGTCCGCTGTACAAGTTATAAAAATGTACAATCGGAGAATCGTGATGGCTGGCAATTTGAATTGAAAAGAATGAATATTATTCATATTTCGACTGACGATCAAACTCCGCCTGTAGCCCCTCCGGGGGCACTGAACAACAGGGCAGACAACGTCACAAAAGTTTAATATAGCCTTTCTTCGAGATACTGACAGACTCAACAAATTCAAGATAGCCCTCAATAATAAGTTCCAGGCCTTGAATGATCTACTCATTGGAGAGGGAACTACTATGGAGAACAACTGGAAATGGATCAAGGAGGCAATCACTTCAACATGTCATAAGGTTCTGGGTCACAAAAATCACCAACAAAAGGAATGGATCACTGTTGGTACACTAGATAAGATTGAAGAAAGGAGGAACGAGAAGGCAGCAATCAATACCAGCCGAACAAGAGCAGAAGAAGCCAAGGCACAAGTCGAATATACAGAAGTAAACAAGCAAGTGAAGAGGAGTATCAGAACCGACAAACGTAAATATGTGGAAGACTTAGCAATAACGGCGGAATAGGCTGCAAGAGAAGGAAACATGCGACAACTGTATGACTCAACAATGAAACTTGCTAGAAATTACAGTAAACCAGAATGACCAGTGGAAAGCAAGTAAGGCAAAGCAATCACCAACATTGAAGAACAACGAAACAGGTGGGTAGAACACTTCAAAGAACTCTTGAATCGACCAGCTCCACTAAACATACCTGACGTCATAGATTTACGTTCCTTTCCAGTAAGACCTACGATTAACTATGTTGAACAAAATCAAAATAAAAGGAACAAAGAAGATATTATCAGACGTTATTTTGGGTTTGTCAACTGATTTGGAATGTCATCGAATGACATCTCTATGTTACACTTATTTTTTGTGAGCAGTTGTGCTTGCTTACTAAGAAAGAAGTCCTTATTTCTCTTAAGGTTGACTGATTAAGCCAGTAAGTATTCATACAGTTTTATTTGAAGAAAGCTAACATTATGAAGTTAGGAATGGTCTCTAGTATTATTATAGTTATAAGCCAGAAAACAAAAAGTGGACAATAAAGTGTTGCAGAAGAAAATACGGGATCTCTTGTGATATCCATATCGTAAGTAATGGTTACAGATATGACGTTAGCAGTTTCTATAATCAAAAAGATCATCCATCATAATGACTGCTGTGTTATCACCGTCATAAAATCAAATATGGGTCAAAAAAACAGTAATAAACCCAGTATAAGACGCTCTTGGAAATCATTTAGCCTAAAAATGAGGTTGTTTGTTGGTAGAATATCATCGTCTGTATTTGTAATAATTCGGGACTTATAGCCTACGAGAGGTTACTGTGTCAAAATTTTGGTTTCCCTTGAAAACATAGATTGGGGCATTAGAGAACATTTACGGACTACAGCAAAGCATCCTAAATAAAATTTACTTTCATTTAATTTACAAATGAATAAATTGATATTAGATAGTTAGGAGAAATCTTCAAACCTAGATTTTATACAACGTTGTAATGTGAAATATTTCGAGGCTGCTGATACCATTTCTGGGAGTGAAACTCTTATCATACAGTGCTACCGTAAATTACTCAAACTAAGACTAGCCTTCTGCAAAAGTGAGAAGTTTTCACCAAGCAGACTCGAAGTTGTGGTTAACTTAGTGTTATCTAGTTCGTATTGTTTGTCATATACTATTGATCAGCTTTACAATATGTACTGGAAATTTAGGCTATTTAGACCATTTAAAAAAAGAGACAAATCACACCATATAAGGCAAAACTGAAAAGCATGTTCTGTGATGTTTCGATGATAAGTGATAGGAGTGAAAATTAAGTTAGCAAATTTAGTTGAATCACTGATCAGTGGTACTCTTCGGTGTAGAAATTGTGCTTTAGATTACTGAATTATAGCTATATGTAATAAATTATTCAATCAGCCAGGATCTAGTAAATACTGCCCAGAATATTAGTGAATGTCCTTCAAGTTAATTTGAAACATAGAAACACCGTAACAATTAGGTTTATTATTAACGGATTCTTAGGTTAGTCAAGTAAAGATAGATTGAGACTTTACTTTTGTATCTAACATGAATGTATTCGGTTTCCTGCTGTAAAATATCTCTAAAAAATTTAGGTTAAGTTCAAATTATTCATGTTGTCATCCCATTGTATATCTAAGATTAGTCTCATCACTTATGATAAACTGTGATTTATGGGCAGTTTTAGAAACAATTAAAGAAAACGAAGCATCTTACAGTAAAATGTCTACAGATGAGGGATAGACAAGGTGTAAGAAAGTGAATTTATTGAACTTGTTTTACATTTTACGAATTTTGGAATATTCGTTTTTGGTACAAGGATTTAAATTGAAGGCCTACAATACAAACGGACTCGAATATTATTAGATTTGTTTTATATTTTTTAGTAACACATGTCACGTACCAGATGTCCTCACTGTAAACAGTATACTGACCTCTTTAAATATGGTTGTAATTGTCTAACGCCACAGAAAAGGACTCAATTTAACAACCTATACTTCTGAACTGATCCTAACCTACGAAGATTCTAAGTTACATGGTAGACTTTTAGATATTTGGTGTGAGGCATAAATCATGAATAAAATGACCACTTTCGTAAAGTTTACGGAATACCATGTAACTTAAAAGTGAGTTCATATCGTCGCATCAAAATCCGTATGATGGTGGCAGATTTAGCAGTGCAAAATATTGAGGTCAAGGACCATAGTCAGTAATTTTTACTATGAAAATTAATCAGCATTTTATACAATCATACAGATTGAAATTCCTTTAGTCAAAACATGCTAGCTACTTGTGTATTTGCATTGTTGTATATTTCTTCTAACTGAACTATATTTTTATCTGTAAACGAAAGGTGAATATCAATAGATTCACAATGTAATAGGAAAAATCTGTCATAATATCAATAAAAAGTAATTACAATTAGCACATAAGAATCTCTTGACCAAACAAAAAATATGAATACAATCGCCTACATTTGACTTCCTTCACTTGACTTAGGTAATTCGATTTGTTCAAATCCAATTGATACACTTTCGATGTATTGTTCAAATTGATCTCCGATAAATATGAAATTGCATACTCTATCTGGAGTTAATACGAAATTATTGCTCATTGTAGGTGATTCAAACTGTTTTTCAACAGAACCTTGACTTTTTATCACATAATCACATTCTGAAATAATTAATTTTTGGTATAAAAAGGAAATTGGTAAGCTGTCAAAATTGACGTTTCATAAATTTTAGAAAAAAATACTCTTTAAAGTTAAACACTGAAGGCTAATTTAGCAAAAAGCTAATACTTCAGAAGTATGAACAGATTATGATGGGTCAATACTTTCCTTGAGATGGTAATCAAATTGTTGTTGGTTTGAATCTGAATAAGAATCGGCAACATAACATTTATTAGTTCTAGTTATGGTAGAACTGTGGTGTTGTCTACTTATATCTATATAAGTAGTATATGGTGTGGGTCAGACATAGAATGTATTTTGGTAGAAGACCGATGAGGAAAGAACTGAAATGAAGCGCAATCGTTTGGAAAATGCATGAGCAATGGAATTAGAGAAGAAACAGTGAAGATTGAAACAATTGGTTGTTAATTTGCAAATTGACTGTTCATTGTTTGGTTATCAGAATTTACTGAGATAGTCTGTAATGTTTGCTTAAATACATTCGATTGTCCCCAACTAGTGTTCTGTTCACTACAGAACTACCGGAATCAGTTTTCATGTTATTACAAATTGATAGCTAGTAATCTAAACTGGACCATGAAACCAGTTAAGTACCTATATCTAAGCTTATCAAAACCAGCTCTAAATATTCACTATTTCAGTGGTCTAATTTTGTTTCAACTAACCTATCTTACCATATTATTGGTCAATTTAAATTTTATTACTGACTGAAAATCTGTAATTGTTCACTGATACAGTTTAACCAGGTTGAACGTGATACATTATATCGGGCGATTAAACATACAAGTAAGAATTATTATCTTAAGGTAAATATATTGTTATTCACAAGGTTCGATACTCATTTTACCTGTTCCACGGACATGCTCGCCTCCCGGTACTTCATTGACAGGCAATAACCTTTTGGTAAATGTATAACGTAGTCGAAAACCTCGACGTCTTGTACTCAATGCATTCATTACTACATTGTCTTTTTTATTATTCACATGATTTAGCAACTGAATTTGACCAGTGACGAATAGTATCACTAAACTTGCTCCAGTAGATACAACGTGAATATTATTTGAATGATCACATATTCTTTGACCGATAGAATTTCGACTTATACTGGTATTGTCTATTTGAAAACCATCATAGAACTGAATAAAATCTTTCGGACATCTGAAACACATAGAATAAGAAAATGATTTACTCAATAAATAATCTAAAGGCTATAATTAAAAAAATAAGTTAAATAAGAGCTATCAGAAAATCATTGAAATCTGAAAAATCAACTGTCACATCGTATTCATGATCATTTGATAATAGCCTAATAGTCAGTCTCGCTAAATTAAATAGTAGGAGCCAGTAAACCCTATGGGAAAAGAAAAGAGTTTTTCCAAAAAGTGCACGACAAGAGTGCTGGATAAACTAAAGCAAATGGGCACGTTAGAGGTTTACTTTGTTGCAGAGACTTCTATCTGTGTAGTGCAGATGGCTATGTTAACAGTTTACACTTTCCAACCACATCCGGAAATTTCATAACAACCTTAAAACGTTCAAAGGAACTCCCCTTTCTGTAATCTTATAAGTGACCTCATAGTTTTCTAAGTATCTATCATACAGTTGGAGAACATATGGAACTCGAAACAACTGTCTGCATGCCAACATGAAAGTGAGAATCTTCCATAAGAAAGTCAAGATAGTTAGTTATATTGTATGGAGCTGAAACTTGCAGAACTACCACAAGCATCATCAAGAAGGTACAAGTATTTATAAACAATTGTCTACGTTAGATACTTAATGTTCGCTGACCGGATACCATCAGCAAAAGTCTATCGTGGGAGAGAACAAACCAACCTCCAGCTGAAGAGGAAATTATTAAAAGACATTGAGAGTGGATCGGACATACATTGCTGGAATCACCGAACTGCATCACGAGGCAAACGCTAACTTGGAATCGTGGAGGGAAACGGAAATGAGGGAGACCAAAGAACACAGTTTGTCGGGAGTTGGAAGCAGACATGAAAGAGATGATTAGCAACTGGAAAGGATTGCTCAGAACGGAATTGGATTGAGAATGCTGGAGGTCAGTCTATGCTTCTTTACGAGGGTTAACAAGCGTAAGTAATTAAGCAAGAAACCTATCTAACTTAATGAGCAATAAAGGGAATACACATAAGAAACAGTACTTTGTCGTTCAGTAGAAATAAACTTTTGAAATAAAAAGAATTTTAGGGTAAGAATAATGAAGACAGTCAAATATTTCAAACTTTTTCTCCTGGTTAAATCAATTTTTAAAATATTATTTAAGAAAAGGGTAAAACCAACAAAGCAACTTTCATAGTCAGCCATTATCTTGATCATGAAAAAAGAATAGCTTTACTAAAAAGACATTGAATGAAATATCATCATCAGTATTGAAAAGGAGAGATAAGTGAGAAATTACTGGTTTCACAATTCAGATAGTTAACCTGTATTCTAGTCTCAGCATATAGTCTTCTCAGATGTAAGTATTTTGAGCAAAAAACTAAGGGTGTTGGTGTCAAATATCCATATAATCGTTACAGGAATTGTTGGTATAAGTCCAACCAATGACTCATCTATATGCTACTTAAATGAATAATAATACGGTGCTAACTTGTAACTCTCTAGAAAACACCTCTTCCGTGATTTAGGCAAGAAGTTGTGGTACATTAAGTTAATTAAGTCAGGAAGGAGGCTAAATATTCACAAGCAACATTACGTTATGTTCACGTCATATCAAAATATAACTGAGGAAGGTTTTACGTAATCGACTTACTGGTATTGTGTCTTTCTAAGAGCAATTTCGCGTAGTATTTTTATTTCAATTAAATGCTATAGAATAGTTCATTCATAATTTAACTCTCACCTCAGGTTTGGTTTTACTCTATATAAGTTACGTGTTTCACTTGCTGTCTGACTACCTTCATGTTTATTGATATTCAGTGTTTTTTGAGAAGTTTGTTTCACCGTAATATCAAGTTGGTACTTCTGGGCATATATACTTATAATTACATCACTAAAATAATTAGTATAGTGAAGTTATGGGAACTTTGCTTCTCTGTTTTCAGTTGTTACCTAAATAAGATTAGTCCTTGATATAAACTAGCAAAATAATTGACTGTATATTGAATAATATTAAGCTTGCAAAAACTGAGGGGTACATAAAAGCAGTTTGAATACTTGTTATTTTATGATATGTTAGTCACTAGAACTGTATGTATTATTAACAGTTTGAGGGAGTTCGTCATACTCTTTTTAGAATATACAATGATTTTCATTGTTTCAATATTACTCAGGGCTTTAAAACTTTTCAGTTCAATGGATATTTCATTCAAATTTTAAGTATTTTTCGAAATGGTACTGATTACATTCTTAAAAAATAAAAAATGAAGTTCATATACCATTAAGAAACTCGAGCTGAGTTTAAAAGTGAAAGATTTAGTGCAATAATTAATCTCCATTATCTGGCTAACATTACAATCCTAATACTACTTGAATTCTGTGAATTCACATGATTAGCTTGATAACTAAATAACAAATAGGTTTCTATTCATTTTTGATTCACTTTGTTCATCGGAGTCCGATAAGCACTAATGGCTAAATAGGATGATATTCTTTTCTATACACAAAACAATTTTAACATCTCTACCCTCACATTACATAAGTGAAACAGTATAGTTGAATAAGTTGATAGGGATAAAATGACCATAAAGATTTTTTTGTTTACTGCCAAGAAAATGACCGAGATAAAGCTACACATTACAGGCTCTACAGTTATTTACCACTAAGCAACTAACATCATAAACAAACTTTATTATTATCTATGAGTTTTAAATGATGATACATTGCACAGTGTAGTATTCTTAATTTATGTTGTAGCATTGCTACCATCTGTTTGCCCAAAATGATTTTCTATTATAGAAAAAAATGAATAAATTAGATTATCATTTAAGAAATCAGATCGATTGTTCTATTTCTATTTTATATCTAAATTACTCAAGTGGAAAACTGTCATCATTATGAATGTTGTTTCCACTATAAATTTTACAAATGAATAGGTAAATTATTTTGGTGTTTTATATGGATGTGTTTACCCCATGTATCAATGAGACAGTAGAGGAACTGAGCAAAAGACTAAAGCTTAGTTTATCAGTATTATAAAGAAATAAACCTCAGTAGATTAAGAATCTCATTCACTTTCAATACTGTTTTGATCATCAGGGGATGTCAGTCCGAAAAAAAGATGAATAGTTGTACGGTTGCACTTTGAGAGATACTGTTAGATACATTTCCCAGGACCGGTCATACTGTCAATTCATAGTGTAGTGAACAGGAACACGGGTGAGACCAACGGAATGTACTTAAGCACAAATTACAAACTATCTTACTAAAATCTGATAATCATACAGTGAATAGTTAATTTGCAAATTATCAACCAATTGACTCAATCTTGACCATCCCTTCTGTAAATATCAGTTCATCGTCTCCGATTATTATTGTCCATGCATTTTCACACCAATTGCGCTTCGTTCCCGTTCTTTCCTTATCGATCTTCTACTGAAATGCATTCTATTCCTGCCCATCACCAAATACTACTTGTGTGGATATAAGTAGCCCACACTACAATATCATGGATTGATTGATACAAACACTGTTAATAGTTTAAATTATGTTAAATTATTTGAGTTCGAAGATGTTGCCAAAAGGAACTGGTAATTTCGTGTTAGTGAAGAGTGTATATCGAAATAAAAAAAGAATAATGTTTACTAACCCTTAGTATTCAGTGATAAAAATATGTTTCAACTACAACAATAACCAGATAATATAACACGAGGTAGTTCAAACGTCTTCTTATCTCTTGTACCTTGATTTAAACTGAATGGTAGATAAATTGGCTTGAATATGCAAATATATTTTCAAACAATATTGAACCGAATAAATGACTAAATTTGTGATATGCAAACACCTTATTGGTGTTGTAAACATGAGGAAGAAACAATGTCTGAAAAACAGATAGGCAATGCCTTGATTCCGTGATTGTTTTTATATAAGATAATGAAGAAATATAAAACTAAGGGAGGAGTTAGGCAATAAAACTAATTAATCAAATAATATAACATTCAGATTGCAGTTCAGAAAACTGATAGTCTTGAAATCGTTTATGCGTCTATTCTCTACAATTTTAACACTCTTATTCAGAACCAGGTACATCTCGTGAGTATTCAGATGAATAAAGATTTTAAAGCATCTTTTCCACCGTTTCGGATTAGTTTAGCAAATTATCATTTTTAACTTGTGTTTAGAACTAATGATTAACTTATAAATGTAAGCAGTAGTGATTTTGACACGCATAAACAAAGATGCTGTACATTTGGGTATAGTATTAAAGTCTGTGGCTAAGCAAACAGTTAGTAATTTATTCAACCACATTAAAATATATTTGAATAAAATTCACATACATTCATTTCACCATATTTGAACAACTTGGCACATAACTAGTTAATTCTTAGATATGTCCACTGGGATTAGAGAGTAGTAGATAAGAGAAATTCAATCCAATTATTTGACTATATGGTAGAGGTGACAGCACAATGAAAGCAACCAGTAAAAGAAGCCTGATATTATCAATAAATATAGAATAATGGGAAACACAGTTTAAATAACCCTGTCTTTGTATTATTGCCTTTGAAGATTCTTATAACGTTTGTACTATAATGTGAAATATTCTTAGAAAACCAAAATTACTTAAACTATATACATACACAGATACTAGTTGATCACTGTTATATATATACAGGTTTGTTAAACTATGGAATAGTAAGTGCAATCAATGAAAGGACAAATGGTCTGGAGAAGTTTGTCTTAAGGGGCATTTTTGTAAAAATCTCCCTACCAATTTGAAATGCCCTATGATTTTCATTGCCATTGCTGTTTTTTTTGAGTTTATTTATACAGTGTTACAAACACACTGCGAGTGAATTCAAGAGAGCCACATGTGACTCGTATGTTGTTAACTGCTTATTGACTAACTTACGAGCAATGTCATATTGCATGTTATCAGTTTTTTTTACTTGTAACAAAATCTCTACCCATATAATACATTCAATCTACTGATAGATCTTGCCTTACTAAATTTCTACTACATTCTTTACAACTCATTCAAATAATGGGATACTTCAGGAGCATTCAGCATAATAGGAAATACTTAGTTCACACAAATAAGCATCAACTAAATAAAAAGCATGCAGTTGGATATCACGAACAGTCATGAATTAACTGTTAGTTAGGCAGTTCACCTTATTGATCAGAAAAAAATTAAATCCAAGCCATACAACAGTACGGCTGAACAGACTTGACTCAGAAACGAAATCCTTTAGACCATCTAACTTCAACAGTCAACTGGTCCACCTTCAGAAATTGATGAAGTGAGTATAAGTGGCCAGGAACTAATTAGCTCACTGTGACGAAAATCAAACAGTTTTACAAATGAATTTTGAAAAGCTATTTGCGGAATTCACTAATTAAACTGAATATATAGACTGACAATAAAATTCATTTACCCGTATCTTACGAGTGTAAACAGAATGTGTTTCAATGCTGAACTTTAACTCCATTCATACGTTTCTTAAAGGCAAGTATAATTTAATATTAGGGAAGAATAATGGGTTTACTTATTTACAGTGTCTTTTTCTAAGCTGAATACTTTATCAATAAATAGTCAGCAATGATGAAATGTATAGATGTTTAGTTCAGTCGGTAGATTGGACTATAATACTAAGTGTCGATAAGTCCCCACACCTGCATTTAAAAAAATGGACAACACATAATGCTAATATGCAGTTAAATGACACATTACTTACCCTGGTGATCCTGAGTATAAGTCTATGTCCAAAATATCCAAACTAATTCGCTGATAAGGAAGCCCAATTAACTGATATACACAGAGAAGATTGTTAGGGTGGTAACCTGGATATGTAGGTGAAATTAGTTCACCAGATATTTCGTCTAATTTAGTCATATCTCCATTTACAACAATATGATCTGCTTCAATACGAAAACGACAGTTACTACTAGTTATCGCGGGAGCAGCTGTGGCATTACCAGTACTAGTAGTAATGTCATCTTCGAATGGTATATACAATTCAGAGGAAGAAACAGCCTTACCAGGATAAAATGCGTCTGCAAACACAAACATGTAGAAAAAACAGCAATTAGACAGAACGAATATTTTTTAAAAATAGTTTGTTTAAAAGCGAAGACTATTATAATTGTTTTCATCTAACCATCAGATAAAACTCCCAAGACATTTAGAGACAACTCTTAAAGATTATTTATGAACTTCTATTCCTTGTAGTTTTTTTTCAAAAGTCGTATTCTGGGTATTTTTTCGGTTTACAAATAATGCCATTTATGTCACAATAAACATATTCAACTCCAAGCAGAATTTTACCACCTGCTGCTTTTTCATTGTTGTACTATTATAATAGTATCACATGCTTCTGAAAGCTTTTCATTCATATTATCACATTGAAACACTGTAGTTTCTTTCTGCTCTAGGTAATTATAGTAGGGCCAATAATTTCAATAGCATACATTATTGCCATTGTTACATTTAATTTTCCTTGTTTTCGCGACACCAACTGCTTTAGAGTATCCGGAGATAAAGATTAAGCCTACGCTTTAAATGTTTGGCGGAGGAAAGTGTATTATGATACTTCATAAAATTCAGTAAGTGGATTAACGATTTTTATTTAATCTAAATTTAAAGTACTTATGTTATTCTTTTCACATTTAAATAGTAAATAGTATATTCATGTATCGTAAATCAAAACACACAGAACAGCTATAAATAAATAATATATTTGTAATATCCCAATGAGTAGAAAAATTAGATTTTCTGACGTTTCGTGACTCAGTGTAAGCAACTTCTTCAGAGAATAAATAACCAAATTAACATTAATCCAAGTTTAAATAGTACAACGGAACAATCACCTTGAATCACCTTGACCGAAATGAAATGACGTGACAGTGATTTATTCAGACCTGTTTTTGATTGATCACCTAATATTCTTGGATTGTTCCGTTGTACTATTTAAACTTGGATTAATGTTAATTTGGTTATTTATTCTCTGAAGAAGTGGCTTACACTGAGTCACGAAACGTCAGAAAATCTAATTTTTCTACTCATTGGGATATTACAAATATATTATTTATTTATAACAATCTACCCAATGCTCAATTTATTCAAAATTATCAAATCAAGACTTGGTAATGATACCTACACAGAACAGCTGTTTTGTTTAAGCACGGGACTTCTTATTAGTACACACCATTAGCCAAAACGGGACCAAAATCTTTAGATTGTGTTTCACCATAAAACCAGTGGACCGAATTTCAGTGATTCTTATTTTCAAATCCAGTTACATATAGTGACATAGTGCTCACTTAATCTAATATAATTGGGAGGAAGGGGTAATTCTCAATAATCAACATTATTGAGTAATGAGTGAAGTGACTTTATAGTATGACTACTGAGAATGAGAATACAAGCGGTTTAAAGATTATATGAGACTTACTGGTTTTGTTACAAACTAGAGATGGTCACTTATGGTTCCACCACTGATGAATCAACAGTCCAATGCATAAAGAACGATTATGGATCAAGTTAGTTATGCTACTATGTGCGAGAATAACTAGCAATGAAAACGTTTACATGTATCATTTTTACCTTGAGTGAAATACTTTTTCAGAAGATCAATGATGTAGTCTGATGAAGGCGAAATATTTTAAAAATACCTTTCATTCATTTGAAATCTTTTGTTGATGTTCATATAACTATCTATAATTACTAAGAAGACTTTCAAATTCACGCTTCTTTTGAACTTGATACGTTTCAGAACAAAGATTCCAAGCCGTTATAGAAAAATCATTTGGTCCATGAAAGTTTAGTCGTTACTGACTTTCAGGTTGAATTTTTCAAAAGCCATAATAAGTTATCTATAGAATGGTTTAAAACCTGAGGAGGAATCTGTTTAATATGTAGTTAAATATTCTGCACTTGGTGCAATCATAATTTTCTAGAGCCTATATTCAAGTAAACTATTCTAAAGATACTCTGGAAAGTCAATTGAACAGTTAAAAACTGAAATTTAGAAGCAAAGTCGATTATTCGAACGATTCATTGTGTTTTATGTATATCATGGTGGAATATTAGTGTTTTCGTAGCTAACCACGAATATGGATAAACCATGAATAATGCAGAAGATAAGTCACGTGTATTATTGTATTTTATCAAGTATGAAAATAATCTTTTATGTATTATGTGAAATAAAGCATACCACTAAATGCGAGTTATATTTTCAATGTTTGCTAGGTACCAGTAGTTAATGACTGTAAAGCTAAGTTAAGAAACATTGAACAAAGATATACGGGTGTACATATTATGGTGTTTTCTGGGAAATAATAAACCCAGTTTAGCCATTTGTTTGATAGTTGAGTCTCAAATAAACTGCAGAAAACTGGTTATTGTCTTGGGGGAAATAAAAAAATCACCAACCATGAGACTGGTGATAGATTGAAAAAAAATTATCTTATTTAAAGGAGCCTGTCTCCCAACATTTAATTGGTAAACTTTAGCCAAGAATTTTTGTTTCAGCCAATTCTGTCCATTCTGCTTTCAAAACAATTGGAAAAATGTATTTCCTGCCTAAAAAGTATATTTACTGAGCCACTAAGTTAACTTGTGTCATAATGACCAAATCGGATAATCCGCAAGAGATGTATCTATGCCCACCAAGACTGATCAAATGTCAGTTAAAATATTCAGCTACTTCCGTGAAGTTTTAATGAATTCCTTGAGAAATTTGGTTGGAATATACCTCTGTTTTTAATTTTTAATTCATTTATTTTTCGACATACTTATTCACCCTAGTCAGACCGAATTCTATGGTTCTATTTATTTTTTGAATACAGTAAAAAGACTGAAATAATTTAAGACTATTGAAAAGTGTTTGTTTTTACGTTGTTGTTTGTCCTTAATATCATCTGATCGTGAGGGATGAATGAAGTGACTAACAACTACGGTACATTTTTAACCTTTATTGATAGTATCTCTAAAATTAAACTAGTTAAAATAGAGAATGATCTTAATTTCCGAGTTACTCAGGGAATAATTGAGATTTGTTAAGGATAGATAGACCCATAAGTAGAATGTACATCTTTACAATAAAACACTTTTATGTCACAAAGACAAACTAGAAAGCTTGAATTACAAGTTTTAGATTAGATTCGCTTACACTGATCCGGAATCACATATATATGGGTTTTAATGAAAGCATACATTTAATCAAACAGGATATTCATATAAAGTGTTAAAGTATTTCTAATTTATACGCTGATATGCGTCGTCAATTGATCAAACAAATGTTTACTCATACAATCATTTGAGTTAACAGAACAAATGTACATTTTTAACTAGTGCCTTGTATTCACAATCGTTTTATTTGTCATAATGAGTATAACTGAATTCAGGTTGAACTTCAAATTCTGACTTATTCTACTGTAGATATGAAAATGTTTGTTTACAAATACAAGTCGACCATAAAAATCAACAAAAAATGAGTGTTATTAGTTTTCAGTATTCACTCAATATTCTGTCAGCTAATAGCCTTATTATTTTCGTCTGAAGACTACAACTAGGTGTTGTGATGGCAACCAAAAGGTTAAAATGAGGTCCAGAATCACGAACTTATACAAATTACAGTCAAACGTTCCTATCGATTGCTGAAATATTTCTGAGTGTGTTCTAGCAAAGCTATTTGAGTACCTAAAGTTGAGAAATGAGCGTAGCTAAACTTATAATGAGATTAATTTCAAGTGTCATATTTCTAAGCTTTGATAATAAATTACCATAAGTTCCCAAAATAAATTCACCCACCTCCTGTACAGGTCAATCGCTTATTCCTATGTACATGAGACTACAGACACAAGTGTTTATTTGAGGGAAAAAGAACAGTTAATAACTGATTCAAGAGTCGATTCTTGTTCAAATTTTCGAGATATTTACAAGCTTTTTGCTATATTACATTACAGTCAAATTTTACATACTGTAGCTAAAACTCATCTGTCAATCTCTTTTCTCGATTTTAAAAAATTCATTCATTATTTAGAATGTCGTAAGCAACAGAACAATAATGTTTATCTAATATTGAAATTAATGTCACTCTCATAAGCATTATAATGAAGTTCAATGTAAATCACATTCTATGCATTACCGCTTATTGTTTATAAATCTTAACCGATCATGCTGTGACCAAGTATGCAAGATCACTAGGGATTTACGCGAATCCTTTTACTTAAGCCCAAAACGAGTATTTTAGGAAAAACGAAAGAAATTCATTGGTTTAAAAGACAAATATATTAATTAAGAATATTCTTTTCGATAAATTCTCTTCAGGTTCTACAATTATATATCCAAATTAATAATCCGAAAAAATGACCAAGTTAAAGGCAAAGTACATCGTTTAAAGCATGTAAATTTAAGAATGTCAAATCAAATAGAATAAAATTGTTAATGTTGATATGACTCATATAGAATGTTAACTTGAATCTGCATACATGATAATTTAATTGCAAAAGCATTCTTACAAAAAAGCACAAGGAAGCTATTCGTAGTCAAATGTAATTGTCTCTGTTCATTCACAAATCTTCGTATTATTATTATTTATAAGAACTTTCGTCTACATTAGAGCGAATAGTTTCACAGTATTTAGGCGCCGAGTTGATGAAAGACATTAAATAGGAAGAATATATTAGATATTTCCTTGAAAAAGCTTGGACCAGATTTTATATAGTTAAGATCATGAGTCAGTTGAAGCTAGACCACCATCGAAAACCTGGAAGCACTGGACGGCCGTTTCGTCCTATTATGGGACTCCTCAGCAGTGCGCATCCACGATCCTACTATCGCAAGATTCGAACCCAGGAATTACCAGTACAATGGAAGTTGGTCGCGCAATTTCGTGGATTGGTTGAGGTTCGACATTAACACCATTGGGTGCCGGCTCAGTGGTCTATCGGTTAAGGGCTCTGGCTCGAGATTGGTAGGTCCTGGGTTCGAATCTCGCGTGGATGCGCACTGCTGAGGAGTCCCATAATAGGACGAAATGGCCGTCCAGTGCTTCCAAGTTTTCGATGATGGTCTAGCTTCAACTGACTCATGATCTTAACTATATAAAATTACTAAAATCTCCACAAAACCACCTTGTGATTGGACCAGATTGCCAGGCGAAACGTTGGATTTACTTCGAATTCATTCGCTGAGATTTTACAAATATATTCTTCTTATTTAATGTATTATTATTATTATTGGTTAAACATTATTGTTAATCTCCCCTATGCATGATTCACTCATTTCGCATTCACCCCTCCTTAATACATCTTACTCATTTGTCACACAATTTTGTCTTCCATTAAACATTTGATCGAATTGTAATTGCACTATTATGTCTCTCACCCTATCTGACCCATATTCATTCTGATTATGGATCTTAAATTTTCACTTAACATATATATATATATATAGATTCAAGCTAACATTGTATGTTCGTTATCTCAACATTGACAATTTTATTCTAATTGGTTTGACAATCCGACTCAGTGAGACTGATAGGTCCTGGATTCTTATCTCGCGAGGTGGGATTGTGGATGCGCACTGCTGAGGAGTCCCACAGTAGGACAAAACGGCCGTGGTGGTCTAGCTTCAATTGACTCATGATTTCAATTATGAAATTCTAAATTTACATACTTTAAACAATGTACTTTGCTTTTAACCTGGTCATTTTTTCGGATTATTAATTTGGATATATAATTAATATTAATATTAGTCCTTTAATGTGAAGGGGATCTTTAAACGATTAAAATTTATCATTACTGAACATTTGGGCCTTTATTTACTAATGTGAATTGAAAGGGTGAATTTGAAGTGTTTTCCACATCTGATTATGAAAACTTATAAATGAGTCCATCTACTTAAAAAGACGTCAAGTCAATAAATAACACAAATGGTATCAGTTAACTTCCAGTAAGAGTTTGTATTGAGCGTTAGAGTACATCTCTTATATAAAAGTCAGGTAAACCCTGAACTTGGGATAAATTTATTAATTTACATCCAAAAACTTTTAGTATCAGTTGTTTAATTTCTGAATAACTAAAAAAGCGTAGTTTTCAACAAGGTTCTGAGTATGGGGTAGGCTTTTCAGTCATTCATACACTTTAGAAGCCCTAATCTTAGCAACATTAAGAATAACAGGAAGCTTATTGAGTGGTAATTTACAAAATCCAAACATTATCATTTTATACTTAAAATATATTTGGCCACACGGTTAGAAGAAAATCTGTGAATAACGAAGTGAAACATTTAAAAAATTTTTGTAGCCAATAGAAGTGAATGTTTGTCAATAGCACAATAAGGTAGCATATAAAACAAAACAAAAAAAAGTTGATGCATATCATTTTTCCCTAGTAATCAATAACCTATCTCTCTATACATGCAATTGATAGTCAATCTAATCACAAGGTTTGCCACGATACTGAGATGTAATCGAGTTAGTGTTGGCTAAATGGAAAATATTGACTGATAAGTATGGGTTTTGTGTGTGCTTATCACCACTCATTGTATGGCACTTAGAATAGGTTACAATTTGATGATAAAGTACTGGAATATCTTTCATATGTTAAGCGGCCCGACATAATAGAGTGTATTTTGCATTACACAATCACATTGCTCCTTAGTCGACAGTCTATATTGGTACAGAACAACATAGTAGGGACTGCATGTTTGGAAAATTAATCCAATAGTATTTTTAATCAGTTGAAATTTGAACAAATTGTTGTTAATAACATTGACTATAAGGATGAAAATCTAGACTTGAATGCTTCAAACAACAAAATTTGTTTTGATCATTCGATGCAAAACTTCCTTCCTAACACCCCTAAACAAATAACATGAATTTCTCGTTAACGTTAGACGCTATGTATCAAGCTAAAGTAACAAACTGACAAAACAAAAACACCGTTATTAGGCTTACCGTCATTAATAAATTCAAATGTTCCATTGAAACCGAATATAGTGGATTTTCCTGTTGTATACCAGGGATTTACCACTTTTTCTAACTCTGAATAAAAATCCAATACAATCTCTCTGTGTAAACTAATAAATGTGACAGAGTTCGTCGATAGATAATCACCACAATATCGACCCAATAAATCTGATTTATCTAATACGGAAGAATAAACAGCAGCTGAAAATGGTGTTGTTGTATGTAGTTCATTAGGTGATGATGATGATGATGATGATGATGATGATAAAGGAGAAGAGGCTTCAGCAAGTATTGAAGCTTGTCTATCCAAATCTAGTGTTGAAGAAGCAACATCAATGTACACGTCTAAGAAGTCGACTGAACAACTGTTAAAAATAATAGTGATAGTGTGAGAAGAAAGAAAAAGAAGTATTCATTTAAGTTATTAAATGGCTTAAAGGTACTGTAGAAGGGAAAAACAAATATTCAGCAAAATTATGACTCACCTCATTAAGACTTTTTTTGTTGCGCTGTGTCGCTTAGTTTGGAAATCTTTCTATTTCAAAATATTTTCACTTATATCCGGAGTAATTGTATAACCTGAAATTCGCATTTATTTGATCACTAACTAGGATAAACTGGTACGGGATTCGGAAAAAAAAATAATTGAAGGATTCTGCCCATATTATCATATAGGGTTGTAAACCAGAAGGACGGAGACTTTAGAGTTAAAACATCCATATTGGGTAGATACCATCAAAAGCAATCAGATGACATACATATTTTCACCATGATGTTTAGAAGGCAATTCATGTAGCATTCAAGCAAAATCGAATTTCGTTACGTATTATAATGAAAAGGAAAGCCGTCTTGGCACCTGACTGTGGGACGTACAATGGTGGATCTAGAAAATGTTCAGCAGGTCACTTACTGCTATCTGAAAATGGACCTAAATTATGAATTGATAGGTGATTGGTTGGCTTTTAATAATGTGATATTTTTTTAAATAGAGGAATAATCATTTACTGTAGAAACTCATCCAGCAGCATTTACCTAAACTAAGTGATCACTTTATTCAACACACAATAAATGAAATTTCATTAAGATCGGGATCTTTACTTAGCGAACGTTGTGAGTCACAACTAAGTACTCACAAGGGAAAATTTCTATTGGAAAATCAAAACCTCCGAACAAAACGGAAACTCATCGGTAACGTTAAATGGAGACTATAAAGTTATTTGGAGTTGCAAATGTGGGCTTTTATCTCAGTAGTTCTGAAAGATATCGCGTTTATTACGATATTTATTCTCATTCGTTACAGTTGGAGCTCAGTGTTTCTGACCACTGAACTAGAACGATACAGTTATTTAATGTTCATTGGTTTTCAATGGTTCGTGATAAGAAAAACTTATAACTTGCTCAAGATCTTCACAAATCCAATCTTAATTTGGTAGCTTACACCGGACATGTAATGAATCAAGGTTTCGTATCTCAAATTTATGTTACTATCATTTCACTCTTCAAGAACTAGATATTTCGCAAACCTTAACATTAAAAATGATGATTAGTAATTGATCACTACTTTTTATATAATAGTAATTGATATATCTCTTTTCAAACCATAGTCAAATAATGAGAAACCAGTGACGTTAATAAATGAAAAAGTATGTCTATATTTAATATACTTTGAGCTAAGATTATAACGATTACATTATTATAATATTGACATTTGCTCATCATAAAGTTGAAGTACTCATAAACAAATAAGAATTATTTATCTGTGTATTGCATAGTTTACACACGAAAATTTTCATCGAAACCGTACTTCACTTCTCATATTTAGTCGGACAAGTAAGATTTCAAAAGTGGTTAAAAAATTAATTATTGTACAACACAATGAAACTAATGCCAAATGACATCTTTGGCAATGGTCAATAAATTTTGGTTCGAGCTTCCACATAAGACTCTACTATGAAGTCTTGCGTGAACCCGAGAATGGTGGGCTTATGATTTTTACAACATGTTAACCCTTTTTTATTATAACTGGAGGTAAAATATCAAATTTAGCTCATAAAAACCTATTGCTGTGGGTAAAAAATATCAATGTATTGATGGTATTGTTCACAAAAAACTATGAAAACTTTACGATTATATCCCCTAGATATGATCACTCAACTTCAACAAACTCACACTGCAAACAACAAATTCTCTATACCATTTTAGCTTGCTAAATCCAAGAAAGTTGTTTATTTTAAAAACTCTCCCAAGTCATTGTTTGATACTTTTGCGCACAACAGGGATAATGTCTGATAACAACATAATATTCCTTGTTAATTATTTCTTATTTAAATATAATCTACTGGAAACACTTGCGAATAACACTTTATCTTTACTGCAGTTAATCCTACAAATATATGAGTGGAATAATGGATTTCGCAGCATAATTTTTCCGTACAATAATTCCATCAGTTTAATCAATTTCCTGCTGTGATGCATTATAAAAAACACCGGTACATTTGTATAGCTATTAAAAACATTTTTTCACGCCTATGAATTTAAATGTTATAAGAATATTTATGAAGTTCGCTGAAAATTCGGGGACATTTTCAATTTAAGTTTTATGGCTGAAAAATCAATGAAGGACAGGTATCATGGATCATACATTTTAATGTAGACACATATGATTCAGTATACACTCTCTTCCTTGTACGCTGTCAAGTCCATGAAATCTAATATCGCTATAAAGGTGTATACGAATGGTTCATATAATATATCCTTAGTTATGGCTAGTTATCATCTATCATTCTAATTAATTAATGCAAAATAACGATGAAAACCATCGTGAATCAGATCAATTCCCCAGTATGAAACCAAAGAAGGAACACTGTTAGAATAACGAGGATTGAAATGAAGATTCTCTAACAATAATTTATTAAAATATCTCTACTTTAGTTCCTAAGTTGACTGAAAGGAGTACATCAATCTAACACATAGAACATTTTACTTATTTTGGACATTTTACAATTATCGGTAGGTTGGTGACTGACACGATCTTCACATGAGTACAAAAAGTAAGCTCTGGTTTAGGTGACCTTTGCTAGCTGTTACGCAAGTAAGATGCTACAATACGTACATATTACTTAATCATCTAATCTAGAGCACACTAGAGCTGTGATACATAATTATTGAAAATGCCAGAATGATCCAATAATATGGTTACAAAAGTGCAGCTGATAGTAGATAAATATTCAAAGACACGTGTAGTAACATCCAATTGGCCATTTTATTAGATACTATGTTAAATTCTTAGATTATTTTCCTCAATAATTAGTCGATAAAATGTTCCATATTAGTTTTTTATTTGAGTTATATCACGGATAATGAGACAATTCATGTATTAAAGTGAAGAGTACGAGTGATAAAATTATGTTCTTCCACAATATGCTAATAATTGGTCTTTAAATGTCTATTTCTCGTTCACATTATTTCAGTTTAGTCAGTTTCAGATTAATAAAAAAATACTGGAAAATGATAAAAACAATAATAGTTGAAGAACTAACCTTGGCATATCACCCGATAAAACAAAGTGATCAAATTTAATATGAACTTTCTCACCAACATCCGCTATGAAACGAAAAACACAACGTGTCCCAGATTCATAAGATTCGGGCCATTTTGGTGAGGTGAATGTACCTTGTTTTGTTGAGTACTTTCTGTTTCCTTGTTTGCTGTTACTGTCAGAAGTAATATCGTTTTCTACTCGTTTTTCCGCTGAATTAAGTGCGGAGCTTCGAAGTAAAATTTCTCCGGCACCAGGATTACAAGTGTATCCACTGATTATAGGAATAAGCAAAGTGATAAAAACTGAAAAGAAAATATATGCAATTGAAAAATACGAAATGTCTGAGTTGAAAAAAATTCAATTATTAGGTTTTTTTAATTTTAAAGATGATTTAGAGTGAGACTATAATTTATGTATGACCTTTGAGTGACTCTAAAGTTACCTTGAAAATATTCACCTAATAACTAGGACTAAATGAGGGTTATAAAACAGTGCGATGAATCAAAATTATAATTTATTTTTGACGGTTAGGGTACGAAATTAGATTTAGGGTTTTCACCACGAACTGAAATCAGCTAAAATGGCAAAACGCTATTTAGCCAAATAGATGAGTGAATTTTGCACCAAAATCCAAAACCTATTACCTTAAATCTGATTGGTTCATCTATAAATTATAGTCTCTCTTGATTAAGGTTATGAAATCAATTATTATCACTTATTGAAGCTGTAACTAATGAGTAATAATAATCAATCTAACTTTATATTTCCAAATCCAATCCCCACTTTTATGTTGCTTTGATCATAAGTGGTTCAGGGGAAATGTATATTCCGTCTAATATGAAATTATTGTCTAATGATAATCACTATCAACCTCCAGTTTAACAATGAGAAGTGAAATAACCAGAAGCGTATATATCATCTAACTCGTTTGGAAAGATATAGTATAAGCTTATTTTTCTGTCATAAAATAATCAATATTGTAGGTAAAAATCTATTCACGTAATGCTTGATTTATAAGTAAATATCCTAATAACATCATCTATTATACAACTCAGCCACGCGAACATCAGCAAACGCTTTTTATTGACCGTTCAATGATTATCGAAGTCTGTAGATCAGTATGATCACTGATATATGGTGCGAATTCCTCTTATTGCAGACATCTCATTTATTGGATACCTTCCACAAAAGGCACACAATAGTGTGTTGTAGAAACCTGATAACGAGGTTTTTACCAACAACTTTATTAGAAAGTTCAACGAAGAGAACGTTTTTGCATTTTTCACACCATTCTCTTAAAAATCTAATTCATTTTATTGTGTTCATCGATGCCCGTTTAAGTAATATCTGACATACTGTCATCTGCTTCTCAGTTGTTGTTTGCGTTTGTTTTGTGTGTGAGAGAGAGTGAGTGAGAGTAAGAGAGAGGAAATGAGCGGAAGAAAAACAATCAAAACTACTGATTATATTCCCATCCGCGATCACGCAATGAATAATCAAATAGGAAGAGGAATTGTTGTGTATAAAATAGATGAGGATGAAGAAACGATGAACATAATGAAGAAATAAACCAGATTTCGCCAACTTTATTACAGACTAGAAATTTGATCTAAATGAATTAGATTACGTTTTTGCCAATACGGTGTTCATCGTTATCATTTCGACAAGAACAATCAAATACAAAATTTCAGATATTTATTAAATGATTTAATGATAGATATCAAATATTGATGTCAGAGATCGAAATTTATCGGGTCATTTAGTTATTTCTTCATGGCAGTAGAAAAGTATCACCATTAAAAGTACAAGGATGTCAGTCTTCCGCATCAAGTGATGTTTAAAATTCTTTCCTTTTACCTGCGTAATTAACAGGTTATCTGTCTAATCTTAAGAATAGTATTCGTGTGCTATTGAAAAGAAGTGATACTCACTGAAATCTAACATTCAATAAACTAGAATTCTTGCAGTTTTAAAATGTGATCCTAATACGTAAAATATTTTATAATTATTCAGAATTCTGTCTTTCTGCTTACTATTTATTTTGGTATCAATTTAGACAAAGGAATCTTCGTGAATAAATATGAAATCTAATGATAACAATAACAACATGGTTAGGCGGAAGTGTTTGTCACAGTTATTCAGTGTTGATACGGATCAAAAATTAGATAACCTTCATTTTTCGCGCCTATCGACAAGCAACAGTTATTTACTTTTTATAAATACAGATGTCACTTAATGAACTTAAATTTATTGTTTTTCTGATAACTACCTTACACTTTAATTTCAGTCATTTTATTAAGCCTATGTTGTCGTATATTTTCTGCTCTGTATCTGTTATTTGTGTAGAGAAAGCTTAGGTTGATGAATATAGAAAAGTAAAAAGTGCTTTTAGCTCACAAAGACAAAACGGTAAAATTTTGGTGCACGTCATATTTAATTTCTGAATAACTGATTGTTGGATTGTTTCTATCAAATACTTTTACACGTTTATGATGAATTATTAGTGTGAATGGTTGGGGGGGGGGAAGAATGCACTTACTGAAACTAGAAATATATTGTCCGAAGGTTGGACTAAAATCTTTCGCTTATGATATTTGGAAGAAATTTAACAGTAGTGAGAACTATTTTAATCAGATTTTTACTAATAGGAATAGAGCTATTTAGAACATATCGATGTTTTTTCAAGAAAATTCATTGTTAATATCAGAAGGGTTTTTGTGGATATTATAGTAATTTTAATAGTTGAGATCATGAGTCAATTGAAGCTAGACCACCATCGAAAACCTGAAAGCACTGGACGGCCGTTTTGTCCTATTGTGGGACTCCGCAGCAGTGGGCACCCAAGATCCTCCCTCGGAGATTCGAACCCAGGATCTATCACTCTCGCGCGCGAGCACTTGACCTCTAGACCACTGAGCTGGCATCAACGGTGATATCAAATATCGTGGATATAAAGTAATAATTAAATGACAATAAACAAATCCATTTAAAAATGAAAATACTCGATCGTTGCCCCCAAGGAACACTGCTCTCCAGGTTGGGCATAAAACAATCTTCGAGAAAGGGAGCGAATGAATATATTTAATCCAGTTTGATGAAAGTTAATGAGAAAAATAACATACTGATGACTTGAAGACAATAATAACAGGCTTTGCACCATACAGTGTTCTGTGCTTACTTTCATTTATAAAACTGGAGTTTATCACTTTGTTATCCTAAACAGATAGGTGATTTAAACAAAATAACACGAACACACGAACAAATACTCTTAAACGAAGAACCAATGCATTTTTACTATTCTATCAATTATCACTATGCGATAATTTAGTTGTTTTTTTCGCAATCATTGTTCATGCATGATAAATACCAACCCCTATCTCTATTGATCAATTACTATATAGTATAAGGTAAAAATGAGTTGATTATGATACACAGAAAAGGAAATAATACTGACCAAATTATGAGATGTAGTATAGACTGATTCTTTTCTTACTAGTATATAAGTTGCCAGCAGACCTTGATGTAAAAATTTAGACGTCAGTTCTATTTTCACTCCAGACGGATGAAAAAGAAGCCCCTGATAATGAAAAAATTGGAGGACTAATGACAATTAAGCTTAGGGGAAATTATTAACTAAAGATTAATTTAGATTACACGGTTGCTTTCTATTTTATCTACTAAAATAAAAAAAATATAGTACAAAGATACTAGTAGTTATCTTTCACGATTCAGCTCTAGGTTAACAGTAGGCAAATCAGCTATTAGACTATCAAGTACATCCTGAGTTATTTAACGGATTAAACTCGGTTAACTTGTGATGGTTTTTCTACATAATATATTTTATTTAACATCCATCCACTAAGCATTTGCTGACACTATAATGTCACTGGAAGTTTTTTAAAAATATTTGCAAGATATTGTATACAGGTTTAAGTTCACAAAGAAAGAAAACTTTACATTACATTCACTAAGTGAATAGACATCATAAAGAAGAATGTCGTGTGATGGTTTCCTCTATACCGTCTGAAATGACGACAAAATGTTTCAGATAATTGGTTGAAACATTTTCATACAGTTATATGGTACAACTTCGTGAAGGTGGTTGTCAAAACAACATTCTGTAGCATGGCGTTGAATTTTTCTTACAGTTTATAAAAGGAAATACAGGCGCTTTTGGGTTGAAAACAGTGACAAACAACTTTCACTGGCCAGTTTTTGTGTTCCGTGCAGTAGATTAACATATGATTTAGAAAAATTCTGGGTTTATTGATTTTCGGTAAATAACCATTTTACAATTTGTACAATTGATGTTGTTTGGGTTTAAGTTTGATTTTGTCATATTACACCGAATAATTTGGTATAGTGAAATCATTATCAAGATAACTAGACAGGATCTTTCTTATCGATTAGACTTGTAGATTTACGTTGAACTGCACTACTCCATGTTGAACTGATCGCTTTTAGTAAATAACCTAAGTAACAAGGTATTGCTTGCTCGATCACTGGTAAATGACATTACCTACGTCCTATTATAATTGGCATTAAAATATAAGTAATAAATGAACCTTGGTCAATGCCAGATAAACAGTTTAAGAACGTGAGTATTAATCTATTTTTGATTAGATTAATTATATTAATGGATGGTATTTTGGCGGAATTAGATTAGCTTGAGACTAGCATTCCATATCAAAGATATAATACTAACTAAAGAAGCGATAATTAATCAACGTCAGCCTACAATAAAGATTCCGAAAAAAGATACATCACTTAATGTGTTCAATGAATTAAAATACAAATACACAATGAAACAGCTGGGAAATTAGTATATTAGAATAATGATATATTATCTGTAAAGCAATTTAAATTGACTGGTATATCTTCAAAATTGATGATCTAAATTTACAGTTTGTAGTAACAAGAGTTAGCATAACTAATATGTAGTAAAAATAACTTGTGGATTTGGAATATTACCAGTTGGTCTAAAACCAGAAAGTCATTTCATAAAGCAATAGAAATAAAGGAATGTATATTGAGTAAAATTAAAAGTGAATGTTAGAAACATTGGATCCTTCATTGTATCCTTATATTCAGTTAAATTGTAAAAAACTATTGTGTTCCTTGATTATAAAAATTAAAAATTCATAAAAGAGTATCGACAAACACGATTCAAGCAACATTAATTTGAGTTACAGTTATTTTTGGTAATTTCAAAATATTAACAGTTGAATTGATGAGTCGATTTAAGCTAGACTACTACTAAAACCGTGTAAGCACTGAACAGCGGTTCCATATCAGTGTGGAA